TTGGGGCAACCGAAAGCCCAGTGGATGCTATGCATCCGGGAATATGGGAAAAGTGCACAGCCACGCTGACCGAGGACACAAAATCCTCAGGCAGTGGCGAGAGCCCTAAGGCATGGGGCAAAGTAGAGAAAGCCCCACGCGGAGCAATAGAAAAGCAAGAGACGCGGAGTGCGGCGCGTATGTGTTTATTAGTTAGACCCGGGCTCGGGATAGGGGCGGAAGCGCAGACCGTCCCCGAAGATGATCCGCCCGGGAACGGAGACCCGGGGGGGCCCAGCGCGTCACCCCCTTCCCCAGATCAGAGCCCAACCCCCGCCGCAGAAGCCCTCCGAAAAACCCCCGCCGCGAAAACCCCCTGAAAAACCGCAGCTTCCCCGTCCGTCCCGCCGCCGCCGCCGGTCCGCGACCCGATGTCGGAGGCACAACGGCGCGCAGAGTGCTTCTGGCAGGAGCCGGCAGGAAAAGCCAAAGTCGCAGAATCCGCGGCTCGGGTGAAAACGCTAACTGCGCGGCCACGTTGCCCCTTTGAAAATGGCACTGGCCGCCGAGGAGGGGGGCAGGGCGCGGGCGGTCTCGGCGCGAAAACTCGAGAGCCGCGCGATTTCAGGAATGCGCGTGCGCGGGAGAAAGAGCCAGAGAGCGGCAAAAAGCGCAGAGCCAATTGGCAGCGGCGCCTGACGCAGCTACCATTTAAGGGAGAAATCATCCCCTGCAGGAGGCGCGGCGAGCCGGGGGGGCGGGAGCGGCGCCACCCCCGCGGGGAGGAGCGAGCTCGGAGCCGAACAAAAAGGCACCGAGCCCCGGAAATACACTGGCATTCGACTTCCGACTCGGAGCCTGGCAACAGCTCTGCTGGCTCCTCCGAGCCGGCGGGAGCCGGCCGGGACTCCGAGACGGAGAAAACAGGGCCAACGCGATTTAAGACAAAACCAAGTAAAACTCTAAGCCGCACCGGAAAACAACTACAATACGAACCAACCCAGTTTAGCAGCTGGGGAGAAATATCCTTTTGGGGCTGCGGGAGAAAAGGGCGTCTCGCCAAGGAATGCGGGTCCCGGCCCCCGGGGAACGGGACGGGGGAGGGAGTGTGCGAACCGCACTCAGCCTCCTCCCACTGCAAATACAAGGCGGCCAATCGATGCCAACCCCCAGTGGGGCGGGGAGCCCTCATACCCCATACCCCTACAAGAAGCAGCCAACTTCATACCCCCGCCAGCGAGTCTCGCGACACAGCCTACGGCACCTTCGTACCCACCGCCACCGCAAGCAGCGCCTGTGCCGCAGGGTCAGCAGGGGACGCCCCAGAACGGGACCCCTGGGTTGCCCTGGCCATGAAAATAGGGAAGGAGCCCCCGAAGGTGTGGGGGACATGCCGCCTTTATGGCAGTCAGGACCCCCACGTAATAGGGCTTCAGTTTTGGGCAGACAAAAGAGCAGACTGCCCGATGTTTCCCCAAGCACTGGGGCCCCGACGCTGGCAATGCAAAGACGTCCCTGCAGTGAACGGAGTGGGAGGGCCGTCCCGAGCTTGGAAAAGCACCCAATTGGTAGCTATAGCGCTGCATACAAAGAAAGGGCCAGAACAGACAGTAGCAATCCACCCCTACATTTTACAAAACTCTCCACCCCTGATAGGAAGGGGCATCCTTGCTATGTTAGGAGTCAGGATTACAAATCTATAATGAGGGCCACTGCTGTACACCCACTGCTGCCAATAAAACTGACCTTCAGAACGAAACTAATGGAAAAGCTGTGAGTTTCAGTTTGCAGGATACGCTCATGGACCGTCCCCGTGATGCATACACCCCTGCTCCGAGGGAGATGACGGACCACCAAACCGCCAGACAAGACACGAGAATCCCACGGCGGTGAGACCCAGACATGCACAGTGTCCTTATGCAATTTTGCTATTGAGGCTTGTGGCCGGGGGACAAGCCAACCCAGGCCATAACCCTCATCAGCCATTTAGGTGGGTCATGCAACATCTTTCAAGTGACAAGGTGTTCAAAGAGATCACCACAGCGAACACCCCATCCTTCGTGTTCCACATAGCCAACCTGTTTAGAAGCTACCTTTCTAACCCTAAACTAAACCAAACCAAACCTGACTAACTCCTGTTGGCTTTGCTATGATGTTAAACCCCCTTTCTACGAAGGCATTGCTTTAGACACCCCCTTCAGTTACTCCACAGCCAGCGCCCCCCACCAGTGCAGATGGGACATTCCCCGCAGAGGAATCACCCTGAGTCAAATCACAGGACAGGGCAGATGTTTTGGGAATGCAACCTTAGCAAAGCAGAAAGGCAACTTCTGCACTGAAGTTGTCAAGCCCAACATAAAAACCTATAAGTGGGTGGTCCCATCCGCATCTGGGATGTGGGTTTGCCAGAGATCCGGAGTGAGTCCTTGTGTGTTCCTTGCCAAATTTAATGACTCTATCGATTTCTGTGTCCAAGTTCTGATTGTTCCTAGGGTCCTGTACCACTCGGACGAAGAGATATACCACCTCCTCGAGGAACCTGACAGACTCCACAAAAGAGAAATTATCACAGGTATAACTATCGCAATGCTGCTCGGCTTGGGAGCAGCTGGCACAGCCACGGGTGTCTCAGCCATCGCAACCCAGCAGCACGGACTCTCTCAGCTGCAAATGACCATCGACGAGGACCTGCAGAGGATCGAGAAATCCATCTCCTATCTAGAGAAATCAGTCTCTTCGCTTTCAGAAGTAGTTTTACAAAATAGGCGGGGTTTTGACCTTTTGTTTATGCAGCAGGGGGGATTGTGTGCAGCGTTGAAGGAGGAATGCTGCTTTTATGCAGATCATACGGGAGTCGTTAAAGACTCCATGGCAGAACTCCGAGACAGACTGGCTCAGAGAAAGAGAGACAGGGAAACCCAACAGAGCTGGTTTGAATCCTGGTTCAATCAATCACCTTGGCTCACCACTTTAATTTCCGCCCTGGTAGGTCCACTGGCAATACTGCTTTTAGCTGTTACCATAGGACCATGCCTGCTGAACAAACTAGTCTCGTTTGTTCAGGCCCGTCTAGAACGGGCGAACATTCTGTTCGTAGACCAGACACAAATGCTGTAAACCAAAAACTGCGAACACAGTCAGTCGCAAAAGCCTTCGAGACTCGCCTTGCGAAAATTACTCAGGTTTACCAAACCACCCTTTCCTTAACAAGTTACAAGGTTGTACCTCACTCCAGTGCCTATATCTACGACTACCTCATTTTATTTATGAAAAGGAGGGGGGAGATGCGGTAGATAGGGACAGGCGAACGGAAGATCCCGGGATGTGACAGAAAGAAAGACCCTTCCCCCCTCTCCTTTGCAACACGTTATCTACCACCCCCAGAACATGTAACCACACCTAACCCAGTAGTTTTCCACTCCCGACTAACCCTAGGGACCCTACAACCCCCCCGACGTAGCAAAGTCCCCCAAGACTATTTAAACCCATGAGATAAGATAATAAACGCTTTCGACCGTCCACCACACTGGTGTCAGCGTGTGTCGTTAGCCCGAGTAGCCCGGACAGGCCGGGCTGCCGTGCTGCTCCTTGGAACCAGGTCGCCGTTGCCTCCCCTGAAGGCAACAGTTACACCAGTAAGGGACCAGTTACACCAGTACCAGACCAGTTACACCAGTACAGGACCAGTTACACCAGTAAGGGACCAGTTACACCAGTACCAGACCAGTTACACCAGTAACGGACCAGTAAGGGACCAGTTACACCAGTACAGGACCAGTTACACCAGTACAGGACCAGTTACACCAGTAAGGGACCAGTTACACCAGTACAGGACCAGTTACACCAGTAACGAACCAGTTACACCAGTACAGACCAGTTACACCAGTACAGGACCAGTTACACCAGTAACGGACCAGTTACACCAGTACAGACCAGTTACACCAGTAAGGGACCAGTTACACCAGTACAGGACCAGTTACACCAGTACAGGACCAGTTACACCAGTGCCGGACCAGTTACACCAGTACAGACCAGTTACACCAGTACAGACCAGTTACACCAGTACAGGACCAGTTACACCAGTACTGGACCAGTTACACCAGTAAGGGACCAGTTATACCAGTACAGACCAGTTACACCAGTACAGACCAGTAACAGACTGCGAACCCCCCCAGTCCCTCCCAGTGCTCCCAGTAGAACGTGCCCTCTGTCCCAGTAACCTTCCAGTTCCCTCCCAGTACAAACCAGTTCCCTCCCAGTTCCCTCCCAGTTTGTCCCAGTCCCTCCCCCAGTCCCTCCCAGTGCTCCCAGTACAAACCAGTCCAAAGCCTCTTTGTCCCAGTGACCCCCAGTGACCTCCCAGTCCCTCCCAGTATAAACCAGTAACAAAGACCCCTCTGTCCCAGTGTGTCCCAGTCCTTCCAAGTACAAATCAGTACAAACCAGTACAAACCAGTACAAACCAGTACAAAGCCGCTCTGTCCCAGTCCCTCCCAGTACAAACCAGTACCAACCAGTACAAAGCTGCCCTGTCCCAGTGCCTCCCAGTATCTCCCAGTCCCTCCCAGAACAAACCAGTCCCTCCCAGTCCAAACCAGTACAAAGCCGCTCTGTCCCAGTCCCTCCCAGTCCCTCCCAGTACAAACCAGTACAAACCAGTACAAAGCTGCCCTGTCCCAGTCCCTCCCAGTCCCTCCCAGTACAAACCAGTACAAACCAGTACAAAGCTGCCCTGTCCCAGTCCCTCCCAGTCCCTCCCAGTCCCTCCCAGTCCCTCCCAGTCCAAAGCCGCTCTGTCCCAGTCCCTCCCAGTCCCTCCCAGTACAAACCAGTCCAAACCAGTCCAAACCAGTACAAAGCCGCTCTGTCCCAGTCCCTCCCAGTCCCTCCCAGTCCCTCCCAGTCCAAAGCCGCTCTGTCCCAGTCCCTCCCAGTCCCTCCCAGTCCCTCCCAGTCCAAAGCTGCTCTGTCCCAGTCCCCCCCAGTCCCTCCCAGTACAAACCAGTCCCTCCCAGTACAAACCAGTACAAAGCCGCTCTGTCCCAGTCCCTCCCAGTCCCTCCCAGTACAAACCAGTACAAACCAGTACAAAGCTGCCCTGTCCCAGTCCCTCCCAGTATATCCCAGTCCCTCCCAGTATCTCCCAGTCCCTCCCAGTACAAACCAGTCCAAACCAGTACAAAGCCGCTCTGTCCCGGTCCCGACAAGCGGCGCCTTTGTACCGGCGCTGGGCGTGGCCTCCCCCCGCGGCCGCCCCTCCGTATTTGGGCATCCGCTCCTTATATGGGCATGGCCCCGCCCACCGCCCCCCCCGCGCGGCGCCGCCGGAGCCGAACTCGCGGGAATTTCGGGGCCGTTTTTGGGGCCAATTCGGGAATTTTGGGGGCGAATTTGGGGAATTTTCGGCACTTTCGGGGCGCGAGGAGCGGGAGGGGCGCGGGGGGGGGCGGGGGAGCGGAATTTGGGATTTTTTGGGGGATTTTTCGGGGCGATTTCGGCCATTTTAGGGCGGATTTGGGATTTTTTGGGGGTGATTTCGGGGGTTTTGGGGGCTATTTTTGGGATTTTGGGGAATTTTTGGGGAATTTTGGGATTTTTTGGGAATTGTTGGGGAATTCGGGGCCGCTTTGGGGCGGGGCCGATTCTGGGCGGGATTTTAGGGCGGATTTTGGGGGGTTTTTTTGGGAGTTTTTGGGAATTTTTGGGGTTTTTTTGGGATTTTTGGGAAATTTTTTGGAGAATTTTTTGGGAATTTTTGAGGAATTCGGGGCCGCTTTGAGGCGGTGCCGGCTCCGGGCGGGATTTTGGGGCGGATTTTGGGATTTTGGGGGATTTTCTTGGGTTTTTTTGGGGGTTTTGGGGTGGATTTTTGGGAATTTTTGGGATTTTGAGATTATTTGGGGCTTTTGGGGTTTTTCGAGGGGTTTTTTTCGGTTTTTTATTTGAATATTTTGGGATTTGTTTGGGAATTTGGGGAATTTTCAGGTTTTTTGGGATTTTTTTTGTGTTTTTGATTTGCATAAAATTCGGGGGATTTTGGGGGAATTTTCCGGATCGTTTTAGGAATTCTCGAGAGGATTTTGGGGCATCTTTGGGGGAGATTTTTTAAAATTTTCTGGGGTATTTTGGGTGGAAATTTTCACGTTTTTAAAAGAATTTTGGAGCGTTTTTTGTGGATTTTTGTGGAGGTTTTTGAGATTTATTTCTTGGCGATTTTTGTGGTTTTTTGGGGGATTTTTTTAAAGTTTTGGAGGGTTTTGTGAGATTTAAGCCAAATTTTGGGGGACTTTATTGGGATTTTTTGGTGGGATTTTTAAAGGATTTTTTTCTGAACTGAATTTTTTATTTTTTGGGGTTTTTTTGGGCGGATTTATATAGATTTGGGGTTTTTTTCGGGATTTTGGGGATTTTTGGGGGATTTCTTTTTTTGGATTTTCTCATCTTTTTTGTTATTTTGGGGGGATTTAAATCCAATTTTGGGGGATTTCATCTGGATTATTTGGGGATTTTTTTCTTAATTTTTTTTTTTGTTTGTTTTTTTGGGGGGGTTTTAAACCAAATTTGGGGGGATTTTATTGGGATTTTTGGGAAATTTTTTCGTATTTGTTTGGGTTTTTTTTTTTGTTGATCTTCTGTGCTTATTTTGATTTCGTTTTTTGGATTTTTTTGGGTATTTAAAACAAAATTTTGGGGAACTTTGGTGGGATTTTGGGGATTTTTTTCGAGTTTTCTAAACTGTTTTTGTTTTATTATTTTTGGTTTTTTTGGGGGGGTTTAAACCAATTTTTGGGAGGATTTTTTTGGGATTTTTGGGGAATTTTTGGGGTTTTTTTGGAATTTTTTTTGAATTTTTGGGAATTTTTTTGTGCTTTTTTGGGAATATTTGAGAATTTTTTTTTAAGTTTTGGGATTTTTGGTTCTTTTTTGGGATTTTGGGGGAAATTTTGGCAATTTTTTTGGTGCTTTTTTGGAATTTTTTTGGGGGCAGATTTTTTGGGATTTTTTTTGTGCTTTTTCTGTGGATTTTTTTTGAATTTTTCCCTTTTTTGGGGAATTTCTGGGAATTTTCTTGTGCTTTTTGAAATTTTTGGGGGGTTTTTTTGGTGCTTTTTTGGGATTTTTGGGGGGAATTTTCGGGATTTTTTCGGTGCTTTTTCTGGGAATTTATTTTCATTGTTTGTGCTTTTTTGGGATTTTTTTTTTGGGGGGGGGGGGTTCTTAGGAATTTTTTGGGGGCTTTTTTTAGGAATTTCCCCCTTTTTTGGAGACCCCCCCCCCCATGCCTCCCCTGCTCCTTCTCGGGGCCCTCCTGGTGCTTTCCGGGGGGGTCCCGTTGGTTTTTCGGGGGGTCCCGTTGGTTTTCGGGGGGGTCCCGTTGGTTTCCGGGGGGGTCCCGTTGGTTTTTGGGGGGGTCCGGTTTGTTTTTGGGGGGGTCCCGGTTTTTGGGGGGGTCCCCAAAGGGGGCGTGGCCTGTCCCGGGGGCTGCGACTGCGACCGAACCAACGCCCGCTGCCGGGGGGGGGCCGGGGGCGTCCCCCGGGGGCTCCCCCCGGGCCTGGCCACGCTGTGAGTGCCCCGACCCCCCCCCCCCCCAATTCGGGGACCCCACCCCAAAAGAGATTTTGGGGTTCCCTTGAGCTCCTTTCCCTCCCCCCCCTCCCTCCCCCCCGTTTTCCCTCCTTTGGAACGGTCCCGGCAAATTTGGGAGGTCAAAAATTCCCAATTTTGGGAGCCCAAAATCCCCCCCGGGACCCCCAAAAATCCAGCCCGGGATACCCCAAAATCCTCCAAATTTGGGAGCCCAAAACCGACCCGGGATCTCCCAAAATCCCCCAAATTTGTGAGCCCCAAAATCCCCAGGGACCCCCCAAAATCTTCCAAATTTGGAGCACCAAAATCCCGTGCGGGGCCCCCCAAAATCCCCCAAATTGGTACCCCAAATCCTCCCCGGAACCCCCAAAATCCCCCCAAATTTGGGAGATCCCAAAACCCAAAATCCCCCAAATCTGGAGCCCCCAAAATCCCCTCGGGATCCTCCCAATTTGGGACCCCAAAATCCCCCAAATTTGAAACCCCAAAAATCCACCCTGGCACCCCCCAAAATCCCTCCCGGGACCCCCTAAATCCCTAAATCCCCCCAAAATTGTGTCTCCAAACACCCCAGGACCCCCCCAAAACCCCCCAAATTTGGAACCCCAAAATCTCCCCCGGGACCTCCCAAATCCGCCAAAATCCTGCAAATTTGGGACCCCCCAGAATCCCCCAAATTTGGGACCCGAAAACCCCATGAGCTCCTAAATTGGGACCCCAAATCCCCCCAAAATCCCCAAATCCCCCCAAATTTGGGACCCCCCAAACCCCAAAATCCCCCAAATTTGGGACCCCCCAAAAATTCCCCTGAAATTTTCCAAATTCCCCCAATTCTCCCATTTCCCCCCAAATTCCCCAAATTTCCCTGAAATTCACCCCAATTTTCCCATTTCCCTCCAAATTTCCCCGATTTTCCCCAAATTTCCCCAAATTCCCCAAAATTCCCCCAATTTCCCCCCAAAATTCTCCCAATTTTCCCAAATTTCACCAGAAATTTCCCCCAATTTTTCCCCAAATTCTCACAAAATCCCCAAAATTCCCCCACTTTTCCCATTTTCCGCCCAAATCTTCCCCAAAATCCTTCAAATTTCCCTAAATTTTCCACAAATTTCCTAAAAATTCCACTCAAATTTCCCCAATTTTCCAATTTTCATCCCAAATTCCCCCAGTTTTTCCCATTTTTCACATTTTTTTTTCCCATTTTGTCCCATTTTCCCCAATTTCCCCCCATTTTTTCCCATTTTCCCCATTCTTTTCCCGTTTTTTTTCCCAATTTTCCCAATTTTTCCCAAATTTTCCCAATTTTTCCCTACTTTTCCCATTTTCCCGTTTTCCCCCCCCATTTTTCCCCAACTTCTCCCATTTTTTTCCTGTTTTCCCCCCAATTCTTCCCATTTTCTGACGTTCTTTTCCCATTTTTCCCAATTTTCCCAATTTTTCCAATTTTTCCCATTTTTCCCCCAATTTTCCCCATTTTTCCCTTTTTTTTTGCCCCAATTTTTCCCACTTCCCCCCCCCGTTTTTTTCCCGTTTTTTCCCCCAATTTTCCCATTTCCCCAGTTTTTCCCCCAATTTTTCCCATTTCCCCAGTTTTTCCCCCAATTTTTCCCATTTCCCCCCAATTTCCCCGTTTTTCCCGTTTTTTCCCCCATTTCCAGCTCGCTGCTCCGCTGGGACATCGAGGAGCTGCCCCAGGGGAGCTTCCGGCACCTCCCGGCGCTGACGCTGCTGTGAGTCCCCAAAATCCCCAAAATGGCCCAAAACCGCCCCCAAACACCCCAAAATCACCCCAAAATGGCCCAAAAAATCACCCCAAAAATATCCCCCAAAACACCCCCAAAACGCACCAAAAACGCCCCCAAAACCCCCCCAAAACATCCCAAAATATCCCAAAATATCCCCCAAAAACGCCCCAAAAATGCCCCCAAAACATCCCAAAATGTCCCAAAAAAAACCATCCCAAAAATATCCCAAAATATCCCAAAAATATCTCCCAAAATGTCCCAAAATCACTCCAAAAATATCCCAAAAAATTCACCCCAAAACCATCCCAAAATGTCCCAAAATCCCCCCCAAAACATCCCAAAATGTCCCAAAAAAAAAATTAATCCCAAAAATATCCAAAAATATCCCAAAAATATCTCCCAAAATGTCCCAAAAATCACTAAAATGTCCCAAAACCATCCCAAAAATTTTCTAAAATATCCAAAAACATCCCAAAATGTCCCAAAATCACCCAAAATCACCCAAAATATCCCCAAATCCCCCAAAATATTACAAAATATCCCAAAAAAATCACCCCCAAACCCCCCAAATTCCTCGAAACACAAAAAAATCCCCTAAAAACAACGAAAAAAACCCCAAATCCCCAAAACCCCCCAAAATCCCCCAAATATCCCAAAATGGCCCAAAATCAGCCAAAATATCCCCAAATCACCCCAAAAATCTCCCAAATCCCCCAAAACCAACTCAAAATGCCCCAAATGATCCCAAAATCCCCCAAAATATCCCCAAATCCCCAAAATGTCCCCAAAACACCCCAAAAAACCCCCCAGATCCCCAAAACACAAAAAATCCCCCCCAAAACAACCAAAAACCCCAAAATCCCCCCTGAAAAATCCCCCAAAAGATCCCAAAAATCCGAAAATATCCCAAAATCCCCCAAAATATCCCCCAAATCCCCCAAATGTCCCAAATGTCCCCAAATTGTCCCCAAAATGTGTCCCCAATGTCCCCAAAATGGCCCAAATTGTCCCCAAAATGGACCTGAAAATCTCCCAAAAATGTCCCCAAATGTCCCAAAATTTGTCCCCGATGTCCCCAAAAATGTCCCAAAATTGTCCCAAATTTGCCCCAGAATTGACCCCAAATGTCCCCAAATATCCCAAATTGTCCCCAAATTTGTCCCAAATGTACCCAAAATTGACCCAAAAACCTCCCAAAATGTCCCCAAACACCCAAAATGTCCCCAAATGCCCCAATTGTCCCCAAATTGTTCCAAATGTCCCCAAATTGTCCCCAAATGTCACCAAATATCCCAAATGTCCCCAAAATGTCCCAAGTGTCCCCAAATTGTCCCAAATGTCCCAAAATGTCCCCAAAATTGTCCCAAATGTCCCCAAAATTGACCCAAAAACCTCCCAAAATGTCCCCAAATGCCCCAATTGTCCCCAAATTGTTCCCAATTGTCCCCAAATTGTCCCAAATGTCCCCAAATTGTCCCAAAATGTCCCCAAAATGTCCCAAATGTCCCCAAATGTCCCAATTGTCCCCAATTGTCTCCAAGTGTCCCCAAATTGTCCCAAATGTCCCAAAATGTCCCCAAAATTGTCCCAAATGTCCCCAAAATTGACCCAAAAACCTCCCAAAATGTCCCCAAATGCCCCAATTGTCCCCAAATTGTTCCCAATTGTCCCCAAATTGTCCCAAATGTCCCCAAATTGTCCCAAAATGTCCCCAAAATGTCCCAAATGTCCCCAAATGTCCCAATTGTCCCCAATTGTCTCCAAATGTCCCCAAATGTCCCCAAATGTCCCAAATTGTCCCCAAAATTGTCCCAAATGTCCCCAAAATTGACCCAAAAACCTCCCAAAATGTCCCCAAATGCCCCAATTGTTCCAAATTGTCCCCAAATTGTCCCAAATGTCCCAAAATTGTCCCCAAATGTCCCCAAATATCCCAAATGTCCCCAAATGTCCCCAAAATGTCCCAAATGTCCCCAAATTGTCCCAAATGTCCCCAATTGTCCCAAAATGTCCCCAAATGTCCCAATTGTCCCCAATTGTCCCCAAATGTCCCAAATTGTCCCCAAAATTGTCCCAAATGTCCCCAAAATTGACCCAAAATGTCCCCAAATGTCCCCAAATGTTCCCAAATGTCCCCAAATGTCCCCAATGTCCCCAATTGTCCAAAATTGTCCTAAATGTCCCAAATGTCCCCAAAATGTCCCCAAAATGTCCCAAATGTCCCCAAATGTCCCCAAATGTCCCAAATGTCCCCAAAATGTCCCCCTCTCCCCCAGCCTGGTGGCCTCGGGGCGCCTGGGGAGCGTCGGGGACGGAGCCTTCGAGGGGCTGGGGGCGCTGGAGTACCTGTGAGTCACACTGGGGATACTGGGTATACTGGTTTGCACTGGGAACGACTGGGAACGACTGGTTTGGACTAGTTTGGACTGGTTTGGACTGGTTTATACTGGGAGGGACTGGTTTGGACTGGTTTATACTGGTTTATACTGGGAGGGACTGGTTTGGACTGGTTTATACTGGGAGGGACTGGTTTGGACTGGTTTATACTGGTTTGTACTGGTTTGGACTGGTTTGGACCGGTTATACTGGTTTGTACTGGTTTATACTGGTTTGGACGGGGAATGGGGCTGGGGGCACTCGAGTACCTTTGAGTGATACTGGGGATACTGGTTTGGACTGGTTTGGACTGGTTTGGAATGGTTTAGACTGGGAGGGACTGGTTTGGACTGGGAGGGACTGGTTTGGACTGGTTTGGACTGGTTTGGACTGGTTTGGACTGGGAGGGACCGGGACAAACTGGGAGGGACTGGTTATATTGGTTTGTACTGGTTTATACTGGTCTGTACTGGTTTGTACCAGTCCATACTGCTCCATACTGGTCCATACTGGTCCGTACTGGTCCGTACTGGTCCGTACTGGTCCGTACTGGTCCATACTGGTCCGTACTGGTCTGTACTGGTCAGTACTGGTCCGTACTGGTCCGTACTGGTCCATACTGGTCCGTACTGGTCTGTACTGGTCTGTACTGGTCAGTACTGGTCCGTACTGGTCTGTAACTCGTTTATACTGGTCCATACTGGTCCATACTGGTCCGTACTGGTCCATACTGGTCCGTACTGGTCCGTACTGGTCAGTACTGGTCCGTACTGGTCCATACTGGGCAGTACTGGTCTGTAACTGGTCCGTACTGGTCCATACTGGTCCATACTGGTCCATACTGGTCCGTACTGGTCTGTACTGGTCCATACTGGTCCGTACTGGTCCGTACTGGTCTGTACTGGTCCATACTGGTCCGTACTGGTCCATACTGGTCCATACTGGTCCATACTGGTCCGTACTGGGCAGGTTCCTGGAGGACTCCCAGCTCCGCTCCCTCCCCCCTGCAGCTCTCCGGGGGCTCCGGGGGCTCCTGTTCCTGTGAGTGTCCCCAAGTGTCCCCAAATGTCCCCAAATGTCCCCAATGTCCCCAATTCCCCAATGTCCCCAATGTCCCCAATGTCCCCAAGTGTCCCCAAGGTGTCCCCAAGTGTCCCCCAATGTCCCCAATGTCCCCAAGTGTCCCCAATGTCCCCAAAGTCCCCAAATGTCCCCAATGTCCCCAGTGTCCTCAATCCCCCCAATGTCCCCAATGTCCCCAATGCCCCCAATGTCCCCAATGTCCCCAATGTCCCCAATGTCCCCGATGTCCCCAATGTCCCCAAATGTCCCCGATGTCCCCAATGTCCCCGCTGTCCCCGCAGGAGTCTGGCTGACAACCTCCTGCAGTCGCTGCCCCGCGGCCTCTTCCAGGAGCTGCCCAACCTCGGCCACCTGTGGGTGACACTGGGGGCGTTGGGGACATTGGGGACACTGGGGGACATTGGGGGGGTTGGGGACATTTGGGGGGGTTGGGGACATTTGGGACATTGGGGACATTTGGGGGGGTTGGGGACATTGGGGACATCGGGGATGTTGGGGATTTTGGGGACATTTGAGGACATTGGGGACATTCGGGGGTTGGGGACACTGGGGACATTGGGGACATTTGGGGGATTTGGGGACGTTTGGGGACATTGAGGGGATTGGGGGGTTGGGGACATTGGGAACATTGGGGACATTTGGGGGTTGGGGACATTGGGGACGTTTGATGACCTTTGGGGACACTGGGGGGTTGGGAGGGTTGGTGCCACTTTGGTGCCACTTTTTGTCACTTTGCTGCCGTTTGGTGCCATTTTGTGCCACTCTGGTGGCATTTGGTGACATTCGATGCCACCCGATGTCCCTTCAGTGCCACTTCAGTGCCACTCCAGTGCCACCTGGTGCCACCCGATGTCCCTTCAGTGCCACTTCAGTGCCACTCCAGTGCCACCTGGGGCCACTTTGGTGCCATTCAGTGCCACTCCGGTGCCACTCAATGTCCCTTTAGTGCCACTCTAGTGCCATTTGGTGCCATTTTTGTCACTTTGGTGCCATTTTTGTCACTTTGCTGCCACTTTTTGCCACTCTGGTGACACCTGGTGACATTTAGTGCCACTTTGGTGCCATTTTTCTCACTTTTGTGCCACTTTTTGCCACTTTGGGACCACCTAGTGCCACTTTGGTGCCACTTGGTGCCATTTGATGCCACTTTGGTGCCACTTTTTGTCACTTTGGTGCCACGTTTGCCACTCTGGTGACCCCTGGCACCACTTAGTGCCACTTGATGTCCCTTTAGTGCCACTTTGGTGCCATTTGGTGCCATTTTTGCCACTCTGGTGCCATTTGGTGCCATTTTTTGCCACTTTGGTGACCCCTGGTGCCACTTAGTGCCACTTTGATGTCACTTGGTGCCACTCTGGTGCCATTTGGTGCCATTTTTGTAACTTTGGTGCCACTTTGGTGCCACTTTGATGTCACTTGGTCCCACTTTGGTGCCACTTTGATGTCACTTGGTGCCACTCTGGTGCCATTTGGTGCCATTTTTGGTCATTTTGTTGCCATTTTTCTCATTTTGCTGCCACTTTTTGCCACTCTGCTGAAACCTGGTGACACCTGGTGGCATTTAGTGCCACTTTGGTGCCGCTTTTCTCACCTTGGTGCCATTTTTTGTCATTTTGTTGCCACTTTTGTCACTTTGGTGCCACATTTTGCCATTTTTCTCACTTTGCTGCCGTTTTTTCCCCGCTTCGCTGCCCCTTCGTGCCACCCGGCGACCCTCGGTGCTCCCGACGCGCCGACCCGTGGCGTCCCCAACGTGCCAACCTGGGATGTCCCCGACCCGTGGTGTCCCCAACGTGCCAACCTGGGATGTCCCCGACCCATGGCGTCCCCAACGTGCCAACCTGGGATGTCCCCGTGGTGTCCCCGTGGTGTCCCTGCGATGTCCCCAATGCGGTGTCCCCAATGCGGTGTCCCCAATGCGGTGTCCCCGATGTGTCGACCCTTGGTGTCGTCGACCCGTGATGTCCCCGACGTGCCCACCTGTGGTGTCCCTGGCGTGATGTCCCTGTGATGTCCCCCGGTGTCCCCAATGCGGTGTCCCTGTGGTGTCCCTGTGGTATCCCCCGGTGTCCCCATGGTGTCCCCAATGCGGTCTCCCTGTGGTGTCCCCAACATGGTGTCCCCAACCTGTGGTGTCCCCAACACGGTGACCCCAACGTGGCCGTCCCCCGGTGTCCCCCGCTGTCCCCAACGCGGTGACCCCGACGTGGCTGTCCCCAACGCGGTGACCCCGACGTGGCTGTCCCCGCTGTCCCCCGCTGTCCCCCGGTGTTCCCAACGCGGTGACCCCGACGTGGCTGTCCCCAACGCGGTGACCCCGACGTGGCTGTCCCCAACGCGGTGACCCCGACGTGGCTGTCCCCGCTGTCCCCCGCTGTGCCCGGCGCAGGGACCTGCGGGGGAACCCGCTGCGCTGTGACTGCGCGCTGCGCTGGCTGCTGCGCTGGCTGCGCGCCCGGCCCGGCCCCGGCCCCGAGGGCGGCGCCCGCTGCCACGGCCCCGCGGCGCTGGCCGGCACCGCCCTGGCACTGCTCGGGCCCCGGCAGCTCCAGTGCCAGCGCCACGGTGACTGGTTTATACTGGGAGGGACTGGGAGAGACTGGGAGGGAACTGGGAGGGAACTGGGAGGGACTGGGAGGGACAGGGGGGGCACTGGGGGGAGAAAATCCAGGGGGTTTTAGGGGTTAAAAATGGGACTGCGAGGGACTGGGGGGAACTGGGAAGAGATTGGGGGGGACTGGGGGGAAGTGGGAGGGAACTGGGACAAGCTGGGATGGACTGGGACAAACTGGGATATACTGGGTTGGACTGAGGGGGACTGGGAGGGAACTGGGAGGGGACCGGGGGGACTGGGGGGAACTGGGATGGACTGGAATGGACTGGGAGGGAACTGGGAAAAACTGGGAGGGAACTGGGACAAACTGGGAGGGAACTGGGAGGGGACTTGGAGGGACTGGGATATACTGGGAAAAGATGGGGGGGAACTGGGAGGGGATTGGGGGGAGCTGGGGGGAACTGGGATGGACTGGAATGGACTGGGAGGGAACTGGGAAAAACTGGGAGGGAACTGGAATGGACTGGGAGGGACTGGGGGGGACTGGGAGGGAACTGGGAGGGACTGGGAGGCACTGGGAGGGAACTGGGATGGACTGGGAGAGACTGGGAGGGAACTGGGAGGGACTGGGAGGGACTGGGAGGGACTGGGGGGGACTGGGGGGAGAAAATCCAGGGGATTTTGGGGGGGAAAATGGGACTGGGAGGGACTGGGACATACTGGGTTATACTGGGAGGGACTGGGGGGAAAACTCTGGTGGTTTTAGGGTGAGAAATGGGAATTTCAGGGGTAAAATTGGAAATTTTAGATGGGAAAATGGGACTGGGATATACTGGGGTATACTGGGATGGACTGGGACAAACTGGGAGGGACCGGGGGGAGAAAATCCGGGGGGTTTGGGGGTGAAAATGGGGCATGGAGGGGACTGGCTTGTACTGGTTTGTACTGGGATATACTGGAGATACTGGGATATACTGGCAGGGACTGGTTTGTACTGGTTTATACTGGGATATACTGGCAGGGACTGGGATGGGGGATTTTGTGGGGGGGGATGGGACTGGGAGGGCCTGGGGCTGTCCAATGTCCCTGGGGATGTCCCCAACTCTCCCTATGTCCCCAGCCATGTCCCCAAGATGTCAGCAAGCTGTCCCCAAGCTGTCCCCGGGCTGTCCCCATGTCCCCAGGGATGTCCCCAAGCTGTCCCCACATCCCCAGCCATGTCCCCATGCTGTCCCCGGGGTGTCCCCAACTGTCCCCGTGTCCCCAGAGCTGCGGCCGTTCCAGGCGCTGCCGTTCTCCTCGCTCGGGGCCGAGCCCTTCGCGCTCGGGGGGCACCCTGGGGTGGCCCTGGCGCAGCCGGCGGCCGGAGCCTGCGCCCTGCTGGAGTGGGACCAGCTGGGGGGCAGCTTCCGCGCCCAGCGCGTCATCAACGGTGAGCGAAACGGGGCAAAAATGGGGGGAAACGGGAAAAAATGGGGGAAAACGGCCAAAAAAGGGGGGGGAAACGGCGAAAAAATGAGGGAAAATGGGGAAAAAACGGGGGAGAAATGGGGAAAATGGGGTGGGAGTGGGGACAGCTCGGGGGGAGCTTCTGAGCCCACAGCGTCCTCAACAGCGAGAGAAATGGGGTAAAACGGGCGAAAAATGGGGGAAAACGGGGGAAAAACGGGGAAAAAAGGGGAAAATGGCAAAAAAATGGGGGAAAAATGAGGAAAAAATGGGGGAGAAATGGGGAAAATGGGGGGGAGTGGGAACAGCTTGGGGGGAGGTTCTGAGCCCAGCGCATCATCAACGGCGAGAGAAATGGGGGAAAAATGGGGAAAAATGGGAAAAATTGGGGAATAAATGGGGGGAAATGGCGAAAAAATGGGGGGAAATGGCGAAAAACTGGGGGGAACTAGAGCAAAATGGGGAAATGGGGTAAAAATGGGGGGAAATAGGGAAAAATTTGGGGAAATTGGGGAAAATGGGGTGGGACTGGGAGGAGCTCAGAGGGAGTGTCCAAGCCCACAGCGTCCTCAACAGCAAGAGAAATGGGGGAAAAACGGGGGAAAATGGGAAAAATTGTGGAAAAAAATGGGGGGAAATGGCAAAAAAATTGGGGGAAATGGCGAAAAAATGAGGGAAATGGAGCAAAATGGGGAAATGAGGGAAAATGGGGCAAAAATTTGGGGAAATTGGGGAAAATGGGGTGGGAGTGGGAGCAGCTTGGGGGGGGGATTCTGAGCCCACAGCGTCGTCAGCGGTGAGAGAAAAGGGGGAAATGGGGAAAAAACGGGGAAATTGGGAAAATGGGGGATAAATTGGTGAAAATGGGAGGAAAAGTGGGAAAAATTGGGGGAAAATGGGAAAAAAACGAAGGAAAAATGGGGGAAATGAGGGGAAAATGGGGTGGGAGGTTCTGTGTGCCCACCATCGTGAACAGCGAGAGAAATGGGGGGAAATGGGAAAAAAATGGGGGAAAATGGGGAAATGGGGAAAAAAATGGGGGGAAATGGGAAAATGGTGTAAAACTGAAAGAACTCTGAGAAAATGGGAGAAATGGGGGGGAAATGGAGAAAAATGGGAAGAAAATGTTGAAAAAGAAGGAGGAAATGGTGAAAAAATGGGAGTAGATGGGGGAAATGGGGTTAAAATGGTGGAAAAGGGGGGAAATCAGGTAAAATGGAAAAAATAAAAAATGGGGGGATATGGGGAAAAAATGGGGGAAATAGGGAAATGGGGGAAAAATAGGGAAAAATGGGGGAATGGAAAAAACTGAAAAAAATGGTTAAAAAGGGTGGAAATGGGAAAATGGTGAAAAAATTGAAAGAATTATGAGAAAATGGAGGAAATGGGGGGAAAATTGGGGAAAATTGAAGGAAATGGAGAAAAACGGGGAGAAAATGTTGAAAAAGAAGGAGGAAATGGGGAAAAATGGGAATTGATGGGGGAAATGGGGTTAAAATGGTGGAAAACGGGATAAAATAGAGGGAAATGGGGAAAAAGGGATAGAACAGTGAAAAAAAAACAAGAAAAAGAGGGGGAAAGGGGCAAAAATGAGGAAAAATGGGGGGAAAAATGATGAAAAAAAATAGGGGGGAGGTTCTGTTCCCCCACCATAACCAACAGTGAGAGAAACGGGGTAAAATGGGGAAAAAGGGGGAAAATAGTGAATAAATGGGGGGAAATGGGAGAAAACAGGGGGGGGTGGGGGGAAATGGAGTAAAATGGAGGGGAAAACGGGAGAAAAATGGTGAAAATAAAAGAAAATTGGGGAAAAGGGGGAGAAATGGGGGGGAATGGGGAAAATGGAAAAAAATGGAGAAAATTGCGAAAAAATGGGACAAATGGGGAAAACGGGGTGGGAATGGGGAAAATGGGGTGGGAATGGTTAAAAATGGGGTGGGAATGGTTAAAGTTGGGTGAGGAACATCAAGAGGGACCCGAGGACACCAAGAGTTGGGGTGACCCCCCAGAAATGGCCTCGGGGACCCCAAAAATGGGCTGAGGGTCCCCAAAATGACCTTGGGGGAGAACAAAGGAATTGCCCCGATGTCCCCAAGGTCCTCAAGGTGCTCAAAGGTCCCCAAAGGTCCCCAAATGTCCCCAAATGTCCCCGAGGCCTCCAATAACCACCAAGGTCCCAAAGGTCCCCAGCATCTCCGATGTCCCCAAGGTCCCCGGTGTCCCCAGTGTCCCCGCTGTCCCCAAGGTCCCTGCTCTCCCCAGTGTCCCCGCTGTCCCCAAGGTCCCTGCTGTCCCCAAGGTCCCTGCTGTCCCAGTGTCCCCGCTGTCCCCAGTGTCCCCGCTGTCCCCAAGGTCCCTGCTCTCCCCAGTGTCCCCGCTGTCCCCAGTGTCCCCGCTGTCCCCAAGGTCCCTGCTGTCCCCGGTGTCCCTGCTGCCCCCGTGTCCCCGCCGACGTCCCCTCCGTCCCCCCAGGCTCCTCACCGGTGGCCTGCCACCCAGTCCCGCTGGGTGACACCCTGCTGCTGGTGGTGGCCCAGCTGGGCGGCGGCTCCTGGGTGTGGCGGCGCTCGGGCGGCCCCGGCTCGGCCTTCGTGCGCCACCAGGCCCTGGGCGCCGGCCGCCTGCGCCGGCCCCACGCCGTGGCCGCCGCGCGCCTGGCCGGGCACCTCTACCTGGGGGTGGCCGACAGCTCCAAGGGCGGCACCAGCACCGTGTTCCGCTGGGCCTCGGGCGGCTTCTACCCGCACCAGGCGCTGCGGCCGTGGCAGCGCGACACCCACCTGGAGTTCCTGGAGCTGGGCGGGCGGCCGGCCCTGGTGCTCTGCGGCGCCGCGCGCCGGCCGCTCGTCTACCGCTGGAGCGGCGACGCCTTCGCGCCGCACACCGACATCCCCCACGTGCCCGACGCCTACGCCGCCAAGCACTTCCGCCTGCGGGGCAGCGTCTTCCTGTGCCTCACCAGGTTCCTGGGCGACGCCAAGGTGATGGCGGCGGGCTTGGGGGGTGGTGGGGTCGTGGTGGGTGGGGGGGTGGGTGGGGGTCCGGCAAGGTCATGGGGGGTCAGCAGGGATTGGGGGTGCAGCGGGGTCATGGGGTTATGGGGGTCCATCAAGGCCATGGGGTTATGGGGGTCCATCAAGGTCGTGTGGTTATGGGGGTCCATCAAGCTCACGGGGTTATGGGGGTCCATTAGGGTCATGGGGTTATGGGGTTCCATCAAGGTCATGTGGTCATGAGGGGGTCAGCAGGGTCATGGGTCCATTGGGTTCCATCATGGTTGTGTGGTCATGAAGGTCCATCAAGGCCATGGGGTCATGGAGGGTCACCAGGGTCATGGAGTTCCATCAAGGTCATGTGGTCATGGAAGGTTCCCAAGGTCATGGGGTCATGGGGGGTCACCAGGGTCATGGGTCCATGGGGTTCCATCAAGGCCATGTGGTCATGGGGGGGCATCGGGGCCATGAGTGGTCACAGGTGGGGCCACCAGGGTGATGATGGCCACCCCATGGCCATGGGGGCCCATCAGGGCCACGAGGCCCCACCTCTGACCCCTGACCCCAAGTGCAGGTGAAGTGCAGGTGAAGTGCAGGGAGGGCCCCAACCCAACCCACCCCATGGTGCCACCACCCACCCCATGGTGCCATCTCCATCCCATGGTCCCACCACCCACCCCATGGTGCCACCACCCACCCCATGGTGCCACCACCCACCCCATTGTGCTACCACCCACCCCATTGTCCCACCACCCATCCCATGGTGCCATCACTGATCCATGAACCCAACCCACGGTGCCACCACCCACCCCATGGTCCCACCACCCACCCCATGGTGCCATCTCCATCCCATGGTCCCACCACCCACCCCAGGGTGCCACCACCCACCAAATGGTGCCATCTCCATCCCAACCCACCCAACCAACCCAACCAAACCAACCCAACCAACCAACCCAACCAAACCAAACCCAACCCACCCAACCCAACCCATCCCATGGTCCCACCACTGACCCCCCACCCCGCGCCATCTCCAGGTGATGCGCTGGGAGGGCTCCATGTTCCGCGAGGTGCAGCAGGTGCCGGCCCGCGGCTCTCTGGTCTTCCAGCCGCTGCTCCTGGCCGGCCACCGCTACGTCCTGCTGGGCAACGACTTCGCCCCGAGCCGCGTCTTCCGCCTGGGCGCCGGCGGCCGCCTGGAGCCCGCCCAGGACCTGCCCGCGCCCACCCCCCGCGCCTTCGTCCCCGTCGCCGTCGGCCACCGCCACTTCCTGGTGGCCTCCAGCTTCAAGGGGGCCACCCAGATCTACGCCCACGTCACCGAGGATGTCGGCACCTGAGGGGACGGCCAGGCGCGCCCGGTGGCCGCCCGCCGCCGGGGGGATGCCCGGAGCTGCCGTCGTGTCCCTGAGGCTGGGGGACATCAGGGGACGCGTGGTGGCAGCCGAGGATGGTGGCCACCAGTCCACCGTGGAGATGGGGACATCAGGGGACATGAGGGGAACATGTGGTGGCATCTGGAGGGACGTGTGGTGGCATCTGGTGGGACGTGGGCATGGTGGCCACCCTGATGTTGTGGAGATGGGGGCGTGAAGGGACACCGTGGGGACAAGGTGGGGACACTGTGGGGACACCGTGAGGACGGCGGTGCCACCACGGCCTCGTGCAGCTGCAGGGACGTGGGGACGTCGCCGTGGGCTCGGGCACCAGAGGGACGCGGGGACATTGACCAGACACCAGCAGGGACCTGAGGCCACCCTCGCGCGACATCCCCAAGGCCACCATTGCCTCAGTGTCCCCAAGTTCACCACTGACCCAACGTCCCCAAGGCCACCATTGCCTCAGTGTCCCCAAGTTCACCACTGACCCAACGTCCCCAAGGCCACCATTGCCTCAGTGTCCCCTCCTGGTGCCACCATCACCCCGATGTCCCCAAAGCCACCATCACCCTGATGTCCCCAAAGCCACCATCACCCCGATGTCCCCAAAGCCACCATGGCCCCGATGTCCCCAAGGCCACCATGGCCTCAGCGTCCCCTCCTGGTACCACCATGGCCCCGATGTCCCCAAGCCCTTGTGTCCCCTCCCAGTGCCACCGCTGTCCCGCCGTCCCCGTGTCCCCTCCCCCGGTGACCAAAATCCTTTTTTTTTTCACCCATTTTTATTCATTGCCTTTCTTGGGGACATTTTGGGGAAAATTTGGGGACATTTCGGGGAAATCAATGCCACCCCTCCCCCCCATCCGGTGTCACCTGTTGGGGACATTTGGGGACACCTGGGGACAGCTCAGGCTCCTGCGGAGAGAGGGGGGGTCAGGGGGTGGCACCGTCCCGCGGTGTCCCCAAGGTGTCCCCAGGGGGGAGGGGACACTCACCTGTCCCAGCCAGAGGTGACAGCTCCGGGGGGGGGGGGGCGGTGCCTGCGGGGGAGGGGAGGGGACACTGAGGTGTCCCCAGACTGTCCCCAAGTGTCCCCCAAATGTCCCCGATGTCACCAAATGTCCCCAATCCCCCAACCCCAAGTCCCCCTCAGTGTCCCCAAGGTCCCCAAAACGTCCCCAAATCCCCCAAAAAGTGTCCCCGATGTCATCCACCAACGTCCCCAAATCCCCCGATGACCCCAAATGTCCCCGAGTGTCCCCAAATTGTCCCCGAATGTCCCCAAATGTCCCCGGGTTTCAGCTGGCCTTGCTCCGGCACTTGCACTTCCCACCTGAGGGGACACAGAGGTGACACAGAGGTGACACAGGTGACACACAGGTGACACAGAGGTGACACAGGTAACACACAGGTGACACACAGGTGACACAGAGGTGACACACGGGTGACACGCAGGTGACACAGGTGACACACGGGTGACACAGGTGACATACAGGTGACATACAGGTGGCACAGAGGTGACACAGGTGACAGGGGTGGCACTCACTGGACGACGACCCCCAGCACGCTCAGCACTGCGGCCACCGCGAGGCCACCGACGCGCAGGTGACACCAGTCTGGGACAGGGACAGGGACACTGGGACAGCTGGGGGTACCTTGGGGACATGTTGGGGACACCTGGGAGTACCTGGGGACACCCTGTGGACACCTGGGGACACCTTGGGGACACCCTGGGGCACCCTGGGGACACCTTGGGGACACCTGGGGGTACCTTGGGGACACTTTGGGGACACCCTAGGGACACCTTGGGAACACCTGGGGACACCTGGGGACACTTTGGGGACACCCTGGGGGTACCTGAGGACACCTTAGGGACACTTTGGGGACATTTGGGGACCCTCCCAGTCTCTCCCAGTTCCCGCACTCACCGAACTGGAAGGGACTGGAGGCATCTGGGGGGGAAGGGAGGGGTCAGAGAGACCAGCACGGACCAGTATAAACCAGTATAAGCCAGTATGGACCAGCATGGACCAGTAGAAACCAGTATGGACCAGTATAAACCAGTTCAGGCTTTCCATCCCAGTCACTCCCAGTTTGTCCCAGTTTGTCCCTGTCTCTCCCAGTTTGCCCCAGTTTGTCCCAGTCACTCACCGGGGGTGTCGCCTCTGGCCAGGGACAGAACTGGGGGGGGAGGGGACACCAGTTAAACCAGTTTGGGCTGGGACTGGGCCCAGTTCCTCCCAGTAACCCCCGAAATCCTCCCAGTCCCTCCCAGTACAAACCAGTCCCTCCCAGTCCCTCCCAATATAAACCAGTTCCCTCCCAGTCCCTCCCAGTACAAACCAGTCCCTCCCAGTCCCCCCCAGTCCCTCCCAGTCCGTCCCAGTCCCTCCCAGTCCAAACCAGTACCTCCCAGTATCACCAGTTCCCGGAGCTGTTCCCACTCCATTCCGTCACCTTTGATCCCTGGGGGGGTGGAGGGGACTGGGACAAACTGGGACAAACTGGGACAAACTGGGAGCAACTGGGGGGGGACTGGGACAAACTGGGAGGGACTGGGAGGGGACTGGGGACGGGTGAGTCACTGGGATTCCTGAGCAGGGCAGGACTGGGACGAACCGGGGGAAACTGGGAGGAGACTGGGAGGGACTGGTTTATACTGGGAGGGACTGGGAGGGATGAGTCACTGGGATTCCTGAGCAGGGCAGGACTGGGACGAACTGGGGGAAACTGGGACAAACTGGGGGGAGCCGGGGGGGACTGGGACCAACTGGCGACTACTGGGAGAGAACTGGGCAAACTGGGAGAGACTGGGATGGATGGGGGGTTACTGGGATGTTACTGGGGGGTTACTGGGATGGACTGGGGGGTTACTGGGAGGTTACTGGGAGTTACTGGGAGTCACTGGGGGATTACTGGGGGGTTGTTGGGATGAACTGGGAGGGACTGGGGAGTCACTGGGGGTTACTGGGAGTTACTGGGAGGGACTGGGGAGTCACTGGGGGTTACTGGGAGGGACTGGGGGGGGTTACTGGGGAGTTACTGGGATGAACTGGGAGTCACTGGGGCTCCACTCACCTTCCCAGAGCAGCCGCGGGAACTGGAAATGGGAGGGGGCGGGGCACGGAACGAGGGGGCGTGACCAATGGAAGGGGCGTGGCCAAATATGGGGGCGGGGCAGAGGCTTGGCCGCGGAAGGACTGGGATGAACTGGGGGATACTGGGATGAACTGGGAGTGACACTGGGGGATGCTGGGAGCACTGGGACAGACTGGGAGTGGCACTGGGATGCACTGGGACAAACTGGGATGGACTGGGACGAACTGGGAGTGGCACTGGTAGAACTGGGAGATACTGGGAGGCACAGGGGCAAACTGGGCTGCACTGGGAGGGACTGGAGGGGCACTGGGGCTGTACTGGGAGGAACTAGCCTGGACTGGGATGAACTGGGCTTTACTGGGAGGGACTGGAGGGGTTGAATGGGCTGGTCCCGCCTCTGCCGCCTCCCATTGGCTGAGGCTCCCGCCCATCACTGTCTGCAACCAATCAGCACCCTGGAACAGCAGTTGGAGGCGGGGCCTGGTGTCGGCGCCATTTTAGCGACTTTGAGCCTACAAGCCCCATCATGCACAGCGGCTCCATGGCGGCCTAACTACAAGTCCCGTCAGGCCCCGCGCTCCACAGCGCTCCCCTATCCGCTACCATGAGCCTCACAGGAGCCCCCCAGACCCTGCGGGACCCCCGAGAGCCCCCCCGAGCCCATTCGGGACGCCCGAACGCCTCCTCGAACGCCCAGATGCCCCAAACAACACAGAGGCCTCCGAGCGCCACCTAAGGGACTACAGATCCCACCATGCACCGCGGCACGCACGGAGCGCCGTTAAAGCTAGGAGTCCAGCTCCCGTCATGCCCCGCGGCGACAGAGCCCCCTCAGAGCCGAGTTCCGGCCCGACAATTCCCGTCACGTCCTGAGCCCCACGGAGACCCCTCAGAGCTCCCCAGGTGCCCCCAGGGGCTTCCCGACCCCACAGAATCCCCCCAGGTGCCCCTGTAGACCCACACCTGCCCTCCAGGACCCCCAACCGCTCCGTTACAGAGAATTCCGGGACTACAGCTCCCATCATGCCCCGCGGCGCCCATTGCGCGCATTTACGGCCATGCCCCGATTTCCCGTGATGCCCCGCGGCCTCACTTAGCCCCTTTAAAGCAGCGACTCCATCTCCCATTATCTCCCGCACCCCAGAGCCCCGTTATACCTGCGACTCTATCTCCCATCATGCCCCGCTCCCCATAGAGCCCGTTATACCCGCGACTCCATCTCCCATCATGCCCCGCGCCCCATAGAGCCCCGTTATACCCGCGACTCCATCTCCCATCATGCCCCGCGCCCCATAGAGCCCCGTTATACCCGCGACTCCATCTCCCATCATGCCCCGCGCCCCATAGAGCACCGTTATACCCGCGACTCCATCTCCCATCATGCCCCGCGCCCCATAGAGCACCGTTATACCCGCGCCTACAACTCCCATCATCCCCCGCGCCCCTTAGAGCCCCGTTAGCGCTTCCCCCAATACCCCCTAAATTCTCTCCCCAGACCCAAAAAACCACAAAAATACCCCCAAAACAGGAAGAAAACCCCAAGTTATTTGGTCACCAAAACTCAGAGACCCTCGACCTTTAATATTTCATTTTTCCTCCTCTTTAAAACGTTCCTTTCCCCTCATTTCCGTGCAGTCTGCTGGCACTGTGATTTGACCTTCTCTCATGGCGGGGATCCCTCCCAGGAGCTCGGGGCCATCTCAGGGCTCCTCAGGGGATTTCTGGGGTGCCTCACAGCAGAGTCCGGCCTCGCTGCGTTGGCAAAACCCCGAAGCGCCGCTTCAGGGCCAGGCGGTGCCGGGAGAATTTATCATCGGGGGAGAAGCGGGCGGGGTGCGCCAAGCGTGTGGGGACCCCGTCCGGGGACACCTTCTGTGGGGACAGAGCGTCAGGGAGAGCCCAAATTCCCCCCTGAGCACAGCCAAACTGACCCGCATCGCTCCCAGCACGCACCGCGGACACCCAAACACCGCGGGTCCCCTACGAGTCCTCCCCTAAATCCCCCAAAAGCGCCCGGTACCCGCAGGGTGTAGACGCGCTCCCCGCCCTCGTTCTCTTAGCACTGCAGGAACATGGCGGCGCCAGCGCGGCACCCGGCCGGAAGTCGCCTCAGGAGAAAAGGGAAAAAGGCGGGCTTTACACCGGAAATCGGCGAGAGGGACGATGGGAAATGTAGTCCCGAAAGAGAGCGGGGAGTACAGCTCAACCCAGCAGATCGAGGGGGGAAATTTGGGCCCAAGAAAGGAGATTTTGGGGTGAAAACGGGAGTTTGGGTAAAAAAAAAAATATAGAATTTGGGTCTTAAATGGGGAATTTGGGCTCAAAAAGGAGGAATCTGTGTCCAGGAAGGGAAAGTTTGGGCTCAAAAGGCGCATTCGGGTCCAAAAAGAGAGAATTTGGGCCCAAAAAAGGGGATTTGAGCAAGAAAAGGGGGAAATTTGGACCGAAAAAGGGGGATTTGGTTTCAAAAAGGGAGAATTTCAACCAAAAAAATCGGGAATTTGTGCCCCAAAAAGGGGAATTTGGGTGCCTAGATGGGAAGTCTGGACCCCAAAAGGGGGAGTTTGGGTCCAAAAATGGAGAATTTGGGCCATAGTTTGGGGTTTGAGCACTAAAATTGAGCAGTTTGGACCTAAAAAGTAGAATCTGGATTTAAAAAAAAACGGGAGTCCGACCTTCAAAAGTGAACCCAGGGAGGCAGGGGGAAGATTTTGGGGTGAAAAAGTGAGTTTGGGTTCAAAGTAAGGGAGTTTGGGTCTGAAAGTGCGAGGAACAGAATTCATGGTTTGGAGTTTTTAAAGTTTAATAATAATAATAATGGCAATAGGATAAAAAAAGGAGAATAATTCCAGCGGGGTGACATCGCTGAGGCGCGTGCATATTCATGATTTCGTTATTTGTGAAAAACTCGTTGTGTTGAAATTTTAGGAGCTTAAATTTTAGCTTTCCCCCCCATCTTTTAAATCAATCTTTGAAAATCTGAGATTTCCACAGAAGGAGGCAATAATGTTTTTTTTTTTTTTTTTGAGATTTTGGTGTCTGTTGCTGTTCTTTTAATATTGTGCTCTAGGCTAAAAAGTGTGTGTGCCACACTGCTGAAAAGAGATGAATACAGGAAAAATTTAAGAGAGATTAATACGGAAAAACTGAAATGAGATTAATACAGAAAAAATTTAAAAGAGATGAATGCAGGGAAAATTGAAAAGATTAATACAGGAATAATTAAACGAGATTAGTACAGGAAAAACTTAAAAGAGATTAACACAGGAAGAATTTAAATGAGATTAATGCAGCAAAACATAAAAGAGATTAATACAGGAAAAATTTAGAAGAGATTAATACAGGAAAAAATTAAAAGAGATTAATGCAGGAAAAACTTAAAATATATTAATACAGGAAAACTGAAAAGAGATTAATACAGGACAAACTTAAAAGAGATGAATGCAGGAAAAATTTAAAATATTAATACAGGAATAATTAAATGAGATTAATAGAGGAAAAACTTAAAAGATATTAATATGGAAAACTGAAAAGAGATTAATACAGGGAAGCTTAAAAGAGATTAATACAGGAAAAATTTAAAAGAGATTAATATAGGAAAACTTAGATGAATACAGGAAAAATTTAGAAGAGATTAATACAGGAAAAATTTAAACAAAATTAATGCAGCAAAATTTAAGAGACTTAATTTAATACAGCACTATTTAAAAGGGACTAATACAGCAAAATTTAAATAAGATTAATGCAGCAAAACTCAAAATATATTAATACAGGAAAAATTTAAAAGATATTAATAAAGCCAAATTTAAGAGATTAATACAGGGAAAACTGAAAAGAGATTAAAACAGCAAAACTTAAAAGAGATTTATACAGGAAAAATTTAGAAGAAATTAATACAGGAAAACTTAAACGAGATGAATACGGCCAAATTTAAGAATGAATACAGCACTATTTAAAAGAGATTAATACAGGAAAAACTTAAAGGAGATTAATACAGGAAAAACATAAAAGAGATTAATACAGGAAAAACTTAACTTAAAAGAGATTAATAAAGGAAAAATGTAAGACATTAATATAGCCAAATTTAAGACATTAATACAGCAAAACTTAAAAGAGATTAATACAGCACTATTAAAATGAAAAAGAGATTAATACAGCCAAATTTAAAAAATGTTAATACAGCCAAATTTAAGAGATGAATACTGCATATCTCTCCAACATAACACATATCGTATTCAGTATTCATTTTAATATTTGCCAAACGCCAATCATACATCGGGGATTTTCACACTACTCAAACATTCTTTCAAATTTCTGATGTTTTGGGAGCTCCTTTGCCTGACCCCTTCACTCTCTGGCTCAGAGACATCCTGAGGGTCAGGATTTATTATTTCATTTTTATATTTTATTTTATTTTATTTTACTTTATTTTTAAAATTTTTTTATTTTATTTATTTTGTTTTGTTTTACTTTATTTTATTTTATTTATTCTTGTGTCTCCACCCTGCTGTTTCACAGCCTCTGATGACATTTTAGTATGTCCTCCTGAAATTAACACGGTGATCTCTAATTGTGCTCCTGAAATTAAGATGGTGTTCCCTAACTGTCCTTGTTAATTTTAACATGGCGTTCTCTAATTGTCCTCCTGAAATTAACATGGTATTCTCTAATTGTACTCATTAAATTAACATGGTATTCTCTAATAGTCCTCATTATTTTTAACATCATATTCTCTAATTGTCCTCCTTAAATTAACATGGTATTCTCTAATTGTGCTCCTTAATTGTAACATGCTATTCTCTAATTGTCCTCCTGAAATTAACATGGTGATCTCTAATTGTCTTTGTTATATTTAACATGGTGTTCCCTAATTGTCCTCCTGAAATTAGCATAGTGTTCTCTAATTGTCTTTGTTAATTTTAACACAGAGCTCTCTAATTGTCCTTGTTAATTTTGACATGATATTCTCTAACTGTCCTCATTGATTTTAACATGATGTTCTCTAATTGTGCTCCTTAAATTAACATGGTATTCTCTAATTGTCTTTGTTAAATTAACATGGTGTTCTCTAATTGTCTTTGTTATATTTAACATGGTGTTCTCTAATTGTGCTCCTTAAATTAACATGGTGTTCTCTAATTGTCTTCGTTAAATTAACATGCTGTTCTCTAATTGTGCTCCTGAAATTAACATTGTGTTCTCTAATTGTCCGCATTAATTTTAACATGCTATTCTCTAATTGTCTTCGTTAAATTAACATGGTGTTCTCTAATTGTGCTCCTGAAATTAACATGGTGTTCTCTAATTGTCTTTGTTAAATTAACATGGTATTCTCTAATAGTCCTTGTTACTTTTAACATGCTATTCTCTAATTGTCCTCCTGAAATTAACATGGTGATCTCTAATCGTCTTTGTTATATTTAATGTGGTGTTCTCTAATTGTCCTCCTGAATTTAACGTGGTGTTCTCTAATCGTCCTCCTGAAATTAACACAGTGCTCTCTAATTGTCCTCATTAATTTTAACATGATGTTCTCTAATTGTGCTCCTGAAATTAACATGCTGTTCCCTAAATGTCCTAATTGCCGAAGCTGGACTTGTGTGCCAGAGGACAGCCGAAGCCAACGTGCCTTGGTGTCTATGGGATCCTTTCTGCAGGTGGCTGCAGGCAGGAGCACCTGGAGCAGCACTTGGTAGCCACACTTGGGAGCTGTCAAAAGCTGTTGCTCCTTCCTAGAATGATTTTTGCTTGGAAGTGATAATCTGCAGCACAAAAACACCATCCACTGTTGACTTCCAGAGGACAATGACATTCTTACAGAGATACTGTCAAGTTCCCTTGTGTCCTTCTGTTTTTCTTGCTTTCTGGGAAAGAACATCAGCCCAGCATCTGATGCCCAATGCTCCGGTTGCTGCCTGGCTGGCTGTGGCCAGCAGCTCATGTCCAAAGACAAGCGGGTGCTGCCTTCTGGGCAAGGGAATGGACAGTCACGAGCAGAGAATTTCCCTGGTGAAGCTGGGAGGAACCTGGGGAAATGCAGAAGACTGGGATAACGCTGGCATGAGAGAAGCCGTTCTGTGTCCCTGATGACGGGGCCAGCAGTGTGAAGGAAGAGCCAAGAGAAGCACTGGAAGCAGACACATCCTGCCGCTTTCTGCTGTTCCACGGACACGGAACACACTTGTTCCCACAGCTCCAGAAGACTTGATGCACGAAGAAAAACGTTCAGCAGCACCACCAAAGGCCAAGGGGCTTCTGGCCACTTTCCCTTGCTCACCGCATCCTTGGGCAACTTGCCGAGTGCAAGCGCCCTTTTTCCACTCCTCCCCATTGGCCTGAAGAATCTGGGCACCAAGAGAAAGCTCCTGGACCTCCGGGTATGACAACAGCAATTTATTAATGCTATCCTGGGGTGAAAGGAAGTGCTTTCAGAAGGGATTGGTCCCCGCAGGCTCAGGTGGCCCCAGCAGACGCAGCCTGGCGGATCAGTTCTCCACAGCGCTGCAGCAGGACAGCCAGCCCCGGCGACACGGGAAAGGCCGTGACTTCCAGAGCCGGCGGAGTTGATCTTGCACATTCTGGAGTCGGGAGGAGGGAATGGCCTGCACAGCTAAATTGATGTAATGAGTTTGAAGGGCCAGGCATGAGATGGCGGGGCTGGCGTCATTCGCCATGTCCTGAAGGGCTGCGAGAGAGAGGAACAGAGCCACCGTCAGAGCCTGTGTCTGCAGAAACATGGGGACACCCTCCTGCCACGTCCATGCCAGGCAGCTCTTGCCATGGCCTGGAGGAAGCAGGAGACAAGAAGGGCGAGCTGGAAGGTGCTGGCCACGAATCTGCCACAGGCCCCCGAAAGGTCTGTGTGCTCAGCCCACGCTGCCCTTGGTGCACGCCGGGCCAGGGAAGGCAGCTGCCAGCGGCAGCCCCCGCTGAGAGCCCGCTGGCCTCACTCACCCCTGCAGAGGATCCGGAACTCTTGCTGCTGTCCTCTCAGGCAGCGCCCGGCGATCCCTTGGGAACAGAGAGCGTGAGCTGGCTGGAGAGCCACAGCTGCCGCACACGGGCGCTGCCAGCCCTGAGGCCACACGGCCTCCTGGCCCGGCAGGGCTCAGCCCGGGCCCCTGCCGCATCCTGCCGCCCCAGGGCACGGCTGCCAGAGGGCGGTGGCAGCGCCGAGGCCAGGCGGGGCTCCAGATGGCCGCGCTGGGATGCTGCTGCCGGGGCAGCAGGCGGGGCTGGGGCCGAGCTGCGGCGGGGCGGGGAAGGAGCCGGGCTGCTGGCTCACCCATGAACCTGACGGCCGCCTCTCGCAGGGGCTCCTGTGGGCTCTGCAGGTAGGGCAGGGCCCGGCGCAGGTGCTCGGCCGCTCGGCTCCTGTCCTCTGCCAGCTGCAGAGAGCAGCAGGCACAAAGGGAAGGGTTGGTGTGGGCCCTGCCCCTCGGCCGGGCGCTCCCTAGGCCGGGTGCCGCTCCCCCTGCCCGCACAGCCCCGAGGCCCGGCCAGCAGCCGCAGGCGCCGGGCTCCGCAGGGAGCAGAGGGCCCGGCGAGCCGCGGTGCCGCCCCGCGGCAGAGCCCGGCTGCCTCGGGGCTCCCTCAGCGCCGGGCTTGGGGCCAGAGGAGCCTGGAGCAGGGCCCGGGTGGCCCCGGGAAGGCAGCGGCGTGTGGGGCGCCGGCCGGTGCCCCTGCGTGCAGCACTGGGCAGGGGCTGCAGCTGCCAGCCCCACAGACTGGGCACCGTGGGCAGGCGGCTTCTCCAGGCTGGGGCTGGGGCTTCTGGGCTGTCCTTACCAAGCGCTCGGCAAAGCTCCACATCTGATCTCTGTTCACCAGGTGCTGAAGATCCCTTCTCTTCAGGAACCTTACTGCAGAAAGCAGCGTTTCCCGAGAGGCCTGCAGAGCGGCAGAGAGCCGGAGATGGCACCGCAGCCCAGGGCACAGGAGCCGCGTCCCTGTGCCAAGGCCAGGAGGGAGCTGGAGCCCATGAGGAGGAGCCAGGCTGTGGGGAGACAGCTGAGCCCCCTGCCATGGGGACCCTGGCGCCCAGGAGCCCTCACCTGTGCCACACCCCAGTTCTCATCGTGACAGTTGAAGAAGAGTGGGAGCAGGCTCTGCCTCACATGCTTCTTCAGGGGCTTTTTTCCCTTGGCCACCACCAAGTTCATCACCTCTTGGAAGAGGCGAACGGAGAGCAGCTTCACATGGCTGTTGTCCTGTTGGAAAGGAAGCAAAACCCCTCCACATCAGCTGCTTCAGGCCCCCCTGTGAACAGGCCCAAGGCACCGGGCTTCCAGGCGGCGCCCGGTGCCCATGGCTGGGGGCACAGAGCTTTACATTGTCGAAGAGTTGCCAGAGCGCCTCAGCCAGCTGCAGGGCGATGGGGCTGGCTATTGCTATCTCCTTGTTGAAGAGCAGAGAGCTGAGAACAACGATGGTCGTCTCAACAATGTCTTCATCCACGGCCCGCAGGAGGTTGCCAAGGCTTTCAGTCAGGCTGTACATTCTTTGGTTCTGTGTGGAAAACAAGGCTGGGCAACCCGACGCTGCTGCTGCTGCTGCAGGGCTCAGAGGCCGAAGGCCTGTCCCAGAGCACTCAGGCAGCTGAACAGTGACCCTGGAGAGCTGGGAGCAGCTGCCACAGCTCCCAAAGCCCAGCCAAGCCCAAGGGGCTGCTTTCCCCAGCCCCACGCTGCCAGCACAGCTTCAGCTGCTGCCTCCTTCTCACCATCGAGGGGTCCTGGCTGAGCACCACGAGGCCTCTGAGCGCCACGCGACGCATCTCTCTGGACCGTCTCTTCAGGTGCCTTGTCATGATCTGCAGGACCTTTTCACCGCATTCACTCAAGTCCAGGCAGTCCAGGACCTGAAAGGCACAGAGCAGTGACAGGAGTGCCCAGCTGGCAGGAGCTCAGAACCGCACAGGGCTGAGCCAAGGCAGCAGCACAGGGCACCATCCCAGGCAGCTGCGGCTACCAGAGGGCAGAGGCGTGGGAGGCAGCTGAGCGAGGCAGCGCTGGCCATCGGGCTCACCTCCACCAGGAACGTCAGGGCGGGCAGTTCCCAGTCTGAAATGTCTTGGCTGAGTAGGTCAAAGAGGCAGGATGCGATCCTGCAGCGCCAGATGATGGAGACACGGCGCATCTCCCTGGGGGGGAGAAAAAAGCACCATTGCTCCTGAGCTGAGTGGCCAAACCTCTCCCAGGGCTGACTCACAGAGGTCTGGTCTTCTCCCGAGCACTCCCGAGCACGGGTGCTTTGGGAGGCAGCTGCTCCAGGGCACCCTCCTCTCCCAGCCTTTTCAAATCTGCTCATCCCTCCCTTGGGGACAAGGCCCTGCCGCCCGTGAGCACGGGGACTGCGTGGGGTGATCTGGGCACAAAGGAGAGGGGCGGTGGGGAGAATGAGGTCTCACCTGGCCAGCAGACCCACTGCATAGTGGTGGGTGTGGGCACAGAGCAGCATGTTCCAGGCACACCTGCGTTCCATTGCTAGCACCACGTCATCGTACTGCATTTGGCAGAGCAGGGCCTTCAGGGTCTGCAGTGCAAAGCTGTGTGCAGAGCAAAGCCCAGGTCACGCTGGGAGGCCCGGCTCCTGCCCTGGGAGCATGGCAGGGATGGGGAGGCTGGGAAGACTGGGATGGAGCACCTGTTGGGGTGGGCGGCAAGGCCGTGTTGCTCCTGGCATCTCTTCCAGAAGGTATCCACCTCTTCTGGCATATCCAGCGTGCTGATGTAAGCTTGGAAGAGCAGACGCAGAAGGAGTTTGGGGAAATATACCTGCACTACAGGTGGGCACCAGGTCAGATTGAAGACCCTCCACATTGTCACTGTTGCCTGCAAGAAATGAAACACCCAGAGTCAGCAATCAGTGCCAAGACATGCATGTGGCATGGCCCCAGCCTGCGAGGGAGAGGCCAAGGGAGACACAGGGGGAGCAGCCGGCCTGGTGGCCCAGAACCTTGCCCCCAAGCCAGGTTTCAGCCCAGTGCCTGAGGCAGGGAGATGCAGCTGGGAGCAGGGCAGAGAGCTAGCTGCTGGAGAGGTGGCCTGGGGGCTGGCAAAGGCCTCTTCCAGAAACTCACAGCCAGGGCAAAGACCCCTGTGCTGTCCCCATCAGAGGTGTACACGCTGTCCTCTGGCCAGGCGCTCAGCTCATCGAGGAGGATCTGCAGCGCCGGCTCGGCGGTCCTGCTCGAGGACATGATGGTCCCCCACATGGTCACGGCAGCTCTGTGGGGCCAGAGCTCTGTGTCAGGGCGGGTGTCAGCCACAGCAGCGTGGCCTGGGCAGCTGCAGGGGCCCGCGCTGGCCCTCAGGCCGGCCTCTGACTCCTGCCCCTTGCTGGCAGCAGCCAGCCAGCCCACGTGGGTCCAGGCCCTGAGGGGCAGGGAGGGAGCATGGCAGCAGGCTCTGGAGTTGACATGCCAGGACTGGAAAACTGAGGGGCCAGAGGCTCCTGGAACTCTCCACCTGTCTGGCAGGGACAGGCTCTACGGGGTGGGGGGACAGGTGAAGCCTAAGGCCTCAAGGCAGGTGGGGATGCCATGCCTGTCACACGATGGGGCCCAGCGCAAGAGAGTGATCAGCACGTCAGAGGGGTATTCCTTGGTCAGCTCCAGAAGGGCCTTGTCCAGCCTGTGCTCAGCAGACTCGTTGGCCGTGAGCCACCGGTGGATGTACCTCACCATGGCTGGCACCTACAGAAGGCACAGGGAGACTTGGAGAGCTGCCAGAGCAGCAACTTGCCCAGCTTGCCCTGAGAAGTGCTTCCCTTTCCACCACATTGGGCTGGGCCTCAAAGGCTGAGGGAGCCCAGCACACCCAGCATGATGTGCCACAGCAGTCCTGGGGCAATCAAGCCCTTGCTCAGACTGCTTACTTGCTTTGCATTGGAGACACCCTTCTCCACCAGCAAATCCAGCATGGCAGCACTGGTCTCGGCACTGAAGAGGTGAAAGCTTGCCAAGATCCCGGTGCCCACACCTGTGCTCTCTTCCTGCCAAATGCACGTGATGAATTGACGGATGGTCTGCAGGAGAAGGGCAGGAAGAGAGGGAGAATGCATGGAGTGCTCCAACCACTCGGTGCTGGGCTGAGCAGTGCCAGCAGGCCCAGCCCAGGTGGGGATGGCCGCAGGTACCTGCGCTGTTCTGCGGAAGCGGCCACGGGCGGGTTCTTGTGTCCGCTCCAGGGCTGCATCTGGTAAAGAGCGAGCGCGGCCAGAGCTGCTGAGGGGCTGCAGGAGAGGCCGGAGAACACAGCCCAGCCCTGTTCTTGCCCGGCAGGGAGAGCCTCATGATGCCCCAGGGATGGAGCATGGCTGCCACAGGGTCCAGCCCCAGCCCAGCTTCTGTCCTATCCATGGGCATGTCCGATGGGATGGGATGGGATGGGATGGGATGGGATGGGATGGGATGGGATGGGATGGGATGCAATAGGATGCAATGGGATGCAATGGGATGCAATGGGATGGGATGCGATGGGATGGGATGCGATGGGATGCAATGGGATGCAATGGGATGCAATGGGATGCAATGGGATGGGATGTGGCCAAGCTGGCTGCAGCCACTAGCCATGCAGCCCAGCAACCCAGCTCTGCCACTCACCCTCCTGCAGCTGCTTGAATGGCACCACTTCTTCAGTCTCATGCCCTGGGGCAGCTCCAGGGCCTTTGTCCTCTTCCTCCACCCCGGCCAGCTTGGGCACTCTTAGGGGTTTCTGCTCCATGTCAGTGACTGGATTTGTGGCTACTTGCAGGAGAGATGCCTCGGAAAAGCTCCGAGTCAGCAAGTCCTGCTTTCGTGCCTGGAAGGCACCTTCAAGAGAGAAGCCTCAGGAAGGCTACAGGACAGCAAGTCCTGCGCTCTGGTCTCGAGGGCTCCTGCCACAAGGACAGGAGACTCCTGTCAAGGATTGTGCTCTGGCCTCAAGGGCACTGGTGGCAGGGATGGGAGATGCCTCCAGGGCACCAAGTCCCTCGCTCTGCCCTCGAGGGCACCTGCAGAAGAGAAGCCTCAGGAAGGCCACAGGTCAGCAAGTCCTGTGGTCTGGCCTCGAGGTCAGCTGCAGGAGTAACGCCTCAGAAATCTCTGGGTCAGACACGAACGAGTGCGCTGTGCGAGGGCTCCTCACAGCACTGCTCTGTCCCGTCCTGTCCTGTCGCGTGCTCGGAGCACTGTGGCATGGTCCTGTCACTGTCAGCTCCTATGTCACCACGTGTCACAAAGGGCCCTTGGACACACTGTTCCATGCCATGGTGACCATGCTGCACGTGTCACAAAGGGCCCCTGCACACACTGCCCCCTGCCCTGGGGGCACCCCCAGCCCACCCAAAGTGGCTCAGGTTGGAAGGAATCCCTTCCCCCAAGCGTCCAAGACAGCCCAGCACGGTCTTTAGGAGCAACTCAAACCATCAGCAAACGCTGCCCTGCTCTGCGGGCTCAGGGCAGCAGAAGGAGCCCCCAGGGCTGCCGACGCAGCCGCGGCGGGAAGGGCACGGGGCCCTGCACAGAAGCTGGCACGGCCTCCTTGGGACACATCCCAGCCCGTGGCCACCCTAAACCCGCGGGTGTGACACTGACAAGGAACTGTGGGCCAGGGCAGGAATGCTGCTCTGAGCCCTGGGGCCTGGGGAGCGCTGACACCAGCAGCTGTGGCAGAGTCCCTGCCCAAGCAGACCTGCCACCCCCCGAGCCCTGGCAGCGCTGGTGCCCGTCTCCTGCCCCAGAGACCTGTGCCCCTGGGGGACTTCTGTGCCAGAGGGAGCCAAACCCACCTGCACTGGGGGCTGTGCTCCTGCTTGGCAGGAACACCTGGAGCAACTGCTGGCAACACTTGGTCTCTGTCAGAACCTCTTACTCCATGCTGAAATTATTTTCTCATTGAAGTTATTGCCTTCAGCACAAAAACACCTCAGCGACAAAGGCACAGAAAAATCTGGCAAGGAAGAATCCTCCATTCAGGAAAGCTTTACATCCCATTGCTCAACTCAAGTGGTTCCAAAACATTGCAAACTTCCCAAATTAATTGGGATGGCCTGAGGAGGTGAAGATTTGGAATTCTGCTTCCCATCTCAAAGCAGCAACTCATTTGCCTTAACCTCATCCATTGAGGGTCACTTTACAGAACATAACACTACACAATAAAAGGGCAAAACCAAGAGCCATTGTTTGGTTTGCAAATGGTTTTCTATGAAGGGATGATAATATCCTAGGTCTCTTAAGGAATAAAAGCTCTCAAGAAATGAAAGTCCACTCAGTGGTACAAAAGTAGCTCAAACAAATGAGGAGATGGCAAAAGGGCTAATCCTCCCCCTGCTACAGATATCTAATTGTCCAGTAAAGTACAGCTCTCCCCTCTTCTTCCCTGCAGGAGAATCAGGACCATGAAAAGGAAAAGTCACAAATATTCTTTCTGCCCTGCCTAACCAAAGCTGTGCCAAAGCACAGATGCTGCCTTCAAAGTGACTCAAATTCCAGCCTAGAGCTCTCACCTTCCAGAAAACTCCTTCCCCAACACCCCACTAACACCAACTCCCCCCAAACTCCTGCACAGAAGCCCTCAGCACCCTCTCAGGAACCCCGGCTGTCCCCGTCCCTCTGCAGAGCTTTCCCACCCTCCAGCAGACGCCCTGGTTCCCTGCACAGTGCCGTGGCATGGCCTCAGGAGGATCTGCTCCAAGGGCTTCCCCTGGAGCAAGCTCAGGCTGCCAGGCCTATGGATCCTGGATCATCCTTCCCACCGAGCCTTCCCGTGCACGGCTGTTCCATCTGCACCTTCGGGCTCAGCTCAGACTTCTCCACTAAACCAGGAGTGCTGGTAAAGGCTGGAGAGCAGCCTGGCAAGCTCTTTCTCCAGCTCCCTCTTTACTCTTGGGGAGGTAGAACATTCCACAGGAAAGCAACTGATGCCACAAGGAGGGGTGGCCTCAAGCACCTTTGGCAATGAAACAAAGCCTTTGTTTGACATAAGTAAGCACAAGCAAGTCACAAAAGTAAACAGGTAATTAGCACAGCCATACATAGGAACTCAGCACCAGTTAGCATAAGAAAAACCTGGCAGGCCTAACTTGACCTGAGAGTGACTTGACACAAAGCTTTACACATAGTCTACCAGAAGAACTAAGGGCAAGTGTGGAGTCAGCCCTGTGCAGGGAAGCCATGAGGAAGACTTTGTGCTGCTTTAGGGCATCGAGACCGCTCCTGGCCAGTGCTTGGACATCAGCTTCAAGTATAGGAATCTGACCCAATGTATTTCCAACCCCCTGCCTACCGAATCGCCTCAGCAGCGTAAAGATGGACGGTATGTTTGGTACAATTCCTGCATCAACCCACTGAAATTTATACCTGGTGGAGGAATATTTTAGTGGGGTGCAGACCCCCGCCCTCCCGCCAGGTCAATAAAAGAGCTTTTGGTAGACAGTGCATTTGTCTGCCAATTTCTTTGAATGAGGGAGACCCCTCAGGACTGCTATATCCTGAGGGAACACCACTGGCCTTGACCTGTAGGCAGCTGCACAAGCTTAAAATCTGCTGCCTCAGCTTCCAGGACCTCTCTTGGCCAGCATCCTGACGTGGATGCAGAACTGTTGTGAGGCACTGCTGGGACCCAGCAGGACAGGACTGCCTGTGTCGTGTCCACATAGCACCCCTCACACAGCCAGGGTCATCCCAAAACCAGAGAAATGCTCAGGTGTCAGAAGAGGGGAGCAAGGAGCACTGGGCTCCTCTCAGGGTATCTCAGCTGGGCTCGCTCCACAACACCCCCCCCATTTTAAGGCCTGCTGATGCCCAGCTGCCAGAAATGCCTCCCTTGTGCTCTCCAAGATGCACAGGGAGAGCCAAGGAGCAGGACACCTCGGCAGGCAAACCTTCCAAGCCTTTTCTGAGGCCAGGCACACACCAAGATCAGCCAAGACTCTCCACCACACTGCCTGGCCCACCCAGCCCAGTCTGTGCTGGCCCTGGGCCACAGCAGCTCCCAGCAAGCAGGAGGCAAATGCATCTTGCCAAGAGCTGAAACACAGCAGACAGGGAAGATGTGAAAAGTGAGTGTGTAAAGGCCTTTTAATTCACAGCTCCCACAGAGAGCTCTGGGGCTCACAGATGGACAGAGATGGTTCTGCTCACCCCTCTGTCCAAAGCGGGGGTAACACACGCTGCTGCAGGTGCTTGGGTTGGTCCCTGCAGGTCCAGGTGGATGCCAAACCTGCTCTTCACAGCCTTCTCCCTTCCCCTGTCCCTCTGCCAAGTGCAGCGGGCCTCAAGGACTGAAAGGAGCACAGAGAGCCAAAGGGGGACACTTGCACCTGCCTCACTGGGAGCTCCCTGGGAAGCACTGTCCTTGAGAAGCAAGCCCCTGTCCTCCAAAGGCATTACCCCAAATGTGCGGCTTTTCTGCTCAACACCAACACACCCTTAAGAAACGCTGGCAAGGCTGAAGGACTTCATGTCCTTTCAGGACAGGCACTCCAGCTCTAGCTCCTATTCCCCCAAGTGCCTTTCCAGGTGGAGGCTCAGACGTGCAGCCCCAGGCCCTCTACAAACACAAGCTGCTCAGTGCCTCTTCACCTGCCTCAACTCCTGCCTGCGCCCACGGCACCAAGACCAGGCTGTTCCCAGCCAGAGCCCAGAGCCCTGCTCCCGCAGGACGCTCTTGCCAGCACCTTCCAGGCCTCTCTGCTGTGCACACAGCGCTTTTCATGCCCGCTCCCAACAGGCTCTGGAAGGCAGAGCACAGCCTGGCTGCCTCTGCCACCAGCCCAGCCCAAACACAGGCGGAGGAAGAAGCAGCAGGGGCTGTTTTGCGGCCATGCCCAAGAGAGACTGGAAGGGTGCCCTCCCTCTGCTCTCACTTGCTTGGCTTTCTGACTGGCTCTGAGCCTGGGGCTGCCATTCCTCACTTGTGGGCACCAGAACCACAGCCGGGATCCCGGCACTGCCTGACAGCGCTCCGGGCACTGGCAGGGTCGTGCGTCCCAGTCTGGGGCACCGCGCTGCTGCTTCCTTTGCCCTCAGGCACACCCAAAGCTCCCTGCTAAGCCTGGATGGTCGCTGGTTCTGCCCTCTCCCTGATCCTGTGCAGGGATGGAGCACTGCTGAGCCTTCAGGAAGCTATTCCTGAAAACTTCCAGCATTCCAAGCTCCTTTGCCCTCCGTGGAAGCTTGCCATGGAATCCCTCACAGCTGCCTTCAGAGCATACTCAGCTTGGCTCTTCCAAATTCCAGGGGCTCCAGGCTGCTCAGCAAGATCTGCAACTCCACAGGGTTGTGGAACTGCACCTTCAGCACAGGCACCTCTCCAGCCTGATCTGCCCTCGTTCTGTGTGTGTGTGCACAGAACACGGCGTGGAAGAGAACAGCAGCAGGGGCCTGTGTGTCCCAGGGCCCGGGATTTGTGCCGCTTCAGCTCCACAGAGATGCAGGTAAGGGGGAGAAACCAAACTGTTTATTAATGGAAGGGAAAGGGAAGGGATGAGATGGGGGCCAAAAAAAGGGAATGGGCAGCGTTTGAGGGCTGGAGGGAGGAGCTGTCAACAGGGAGGGGGAAGGCAGCAGCTATGGGAGCTTGCAGCAGGCACAGCTGTGGCCAGCATCAGGAGTGCCTGGGGCTCCAGTGACATTGAGTCCTGCTGCTCTCTTTACTGTCTCCTGGTACTCTTCTTGGGATTGTGGTTCTCTGAATCCAGCAGATGACCTTAGTTCTGCATCTTTGTCCAAAAATTGCCTGAATTTCCAGGTTAGTGGAGGATGGGCTGTCATCTTCGCTCATGGCTTCAAGGGCTGGAAGACAGATAAACAACCACAGTCAGAGACCAGGGGCTGTGTGACATCACAGAGATCTGTGTAACATCACAGGGGCTATGAGACATCACGGGTCCTGAGTGACATCACAGAGAGCTTTGTGAAATCACAGATCCTGTGTGACATCACAGACAGCTCTGTGACATCACAGATTCTGTGTGACATCACAGACAGCTCTGTGACATCACAGATCCGATGTGACATCACAGAGGCATCCATGTGACATCACAGATGCTGTGTGACATCACAGGGGCTATGTGACATCACAGGTCCTGTGTGACGTCACAGAGACATCCATGTGACATCACAGAGTTCTGTGTGACATCACAGAGAGCTGTGTGACATCACAGAGGGCTGTGTGATGTCACAGAGATCTCAGTGTGACATCACAGAGTGGTGTGTGACATCACAGAGATGTCAGTGTGACATCACAAAAAGCTGTGTGACCTCATACGGTCAGTGTGCCATCACAGTGATGTTCGAGTGACATCAGAGAGCGCTGTGTGATGTCACAGAGATGAGAGTGTGACATCACAAATAGCTGTGTGACATCACAGAGAGCTTTGTTACATCACTGAGATGTCCATGTGACATCACAGAGACTGGTGTGACATCACAGAGATGTCCATGTGACATCACTGAGATGTCAGTGTGACATCACAGAGGGCTGTATGATCTTGCACCTTCTGGAAGATGGAGTATCGCCCACTCTGTATTGCCCGGAGCACATGCAGTGTTTGAAGTGCCAGCTCTGACATGGCACTACTGACATCCTCTGTCAGGCATTCAAGGGCTGCAAGAGAGAGGAACAGAGCCACGGTCAGATCCCGACTCTGCGGGGAGCCGAGGGGAGCCCCCCCTGCCAGGGCCATCCCAGCCGGCTCTTGCCATGGCCGGGAGGGATCAGGGACCAAGGGGATCAGCCCGAAGCTGCTGGCCACGCATCCCCCACGTGTCCCTGAAATCTCTGTGTGCTCTACCTAGGAGAGCAGAGCTCTCCGCAGCTGGGGCAGGGCTCACAGCTCCCCGGCAGCCCCCGCTGGCAGCCCGCTGCCCTCACTCACCCTCAGAGATGAGCTGGAGCTCTTCCTTCCTCCCCCTCAGGTACCGCCCGGCCATCCCTGGGAACACAGAGCCGCGGAGATGGCCCCACAGCCCAGGGCGCAGGACCCGTCCCTGTGCCAGGGCCTGGAGGAGGCTGCAGCCTGCGAGGTGCCAGGGCAGGAGGCAGCCCAGCCCCTGCCAGGGGAACAGCAGCAGCTGCCGAGTCCTCACCTCTGCCACTCGCTGGTTCTCATCATGGCAGTGGAAGGAGAGTGGCAGCAGGCTCTGGTGCACGTGTGTCTTCAGAGCCTCTTTTTCTTTTTCCTGTGGAAAAGTCATCAATGTTCAGAAGAGCAGTATGGAGAGCAGCTGCACTTGGCTATTGTCCTGTATGAAGGGAAGAAAAAGAGACCTCAGCATCGGCTGCACGGGGCTCAGCTTGGTGCAGGCCTGCAAATCCACAGGGCACAAAGTGTCTGGGCAGCAGCCAGTGGCCGTGGCTGGGGGCAGTGAGCCTTACGTGGTCAAGGAGTGGCAGGAGCGCCTCAACCAGCTGCAGTGTGATGGGGCTGGGTATCAGCATGTCCTTGTCCAAGATGATAAAGTTGAGGAGCATGGCTGTCATGCTAACTATCTCTCCATCCGCATCCCACAGGAGCTCCACAAGACTTTCAGTCAGGCTCCACATTTTTTCTCTCTGTGAGGAACACAAGTTTGTGAAATGCCATCCTGCTGCTGCAGGGCCTAGAGGCCAAAGGGCTGTTCCAAAGCACTTGGGCAGCTGAAGCGGGAGGCAGGAGAGCTGGGAGCAGCTGGCCCAGCGCCCAAAGCCCAGCCAAGCCCAAGCGACTGCATTCCTGAGCGCAGCCTCTGCCCTGCCCCCTTCTCACCATCGAGGGATCGTTGATGAGCTCGAGAAGGGCCCTGAGCACCAGGTGACGCCTCTCCTTGCACTCGCTCCTCAGGTGCCTTGACAAGATTTGCAGGACTCTGTCAGCACCGCGTTCACTCAATTCCAGGCACTCGAGGCCCTGAAAGGCACAGGGCAGTGACAGGGGACCGGCCGGCAGGAGCCCAGAACCGCACAGGGCTGAGCCCAGGCAGCAGCACAGGGCGCGGGCACCGTCCCAGGCACTGCGGCCAAGAGAGGGCAGAGAGCCGGGAGGCAGCTGAGCGAGGCAGCGCTGGCCTTCAGGCTCAGCTCCACAAGGAACGCCAGGGAGGGCAGCTCCCAGCGTGGCTCCTGTGTGCTGAGCAGCCGGAGCAGGTAGCGAGCGATCCGGGAGCACAAGGGGATGGAGACACAGGACATCTCCCTGGCAGGAGACAAAGTAACCAAGACTGTGGGCCAGGGGGACAAACCTCTCCCAGGACTGACTCACAGAGGTCTGGTCTTTCCCCAGCATCCTGCAAGGGCCCCTGGGCTATTTGGGAGGCGGCTCCTTGTGGGCACCCTCCTCTCCCAGCCTTTTTCAGTCTGCTTGGCTGTCCCTCGGTGACAAGGCCCTCTGGCCCATGACCACAGGGACTGTGTGGGGCACCCCAGGCACAGAGCACAAATGTCAGAGGCAGCAGTGTGAAGGGGGTCTCACCTGGCCAGCAGACCCACGGCACAGTGGTGGGTGTCAGCACAGAGCAGCGTGTCCCAGCCACACTTGCGTTCCATTGCCACCACCACATCCTCGTGCTGCATTTGGCAGAGCAGGGACTTCAGGGTCCGCACTGCAAACCTGTGTGCAGAGCAAAGCCCAGGTCACACTGGGAGCACTGGCTCCTGCCCAGGGATGTGGCAAGGACAGGAGGACAGGCATGGAGCACCTGTTGGGGTTGGAGGCAAGGCCGTATTGCTGCTGACATCCCTTCCAGAAGGTATCGACCTCCTCTGGCATATCCAGAGTGCTGAAGAGCACTTGGAAGAGCAGATGGACAAACAGGCGGGGGAAATACACGGTCACCATCTGTGGCACACAGGGCAGCTGGAGGATCTTCCACATCACCACAGTTGCCTGCAAAGGACAGAGCAGCCCGAGACAGCGCTCAGTGCCGAGGTGTCCGTGTGGCAGGGCCCAAGCACGGGAGGGAGAGGCCCGGAGAGACGCAGGGGGAGCACCGGGCCTGGTGGCCCTGAAGCTGCCCCAAGGCCAGGTTTCAGCCCAGCACCTGAGGCAGGGAGACGCCGTGGGGGAGGGAGGATGGAGAGCTGCTGGAGGGGTGGCCTTGGGGCCAGCAAAGGCAGAAACTCACAGCCAGGGCAAGGACAGCCGTGTGGTCCCCATCGGAGGTGCACGTGCTGTGCTCTGGCCAGCTCCCCAGCACATCGAGGAGTACGAGCATGGCCGGCTCTGCAGTCCTGGGCGAGCACATGATGCTCTTCCACATGGCCAAAGCAGCTCTGTGGGGTCAGAGCTCTGTCTCAGAGGAGTCTGGGACACAGCAGCGTGGCCTGGGTGGCAGCGGGGAGCTGAGCTGCTCTGCCAGCCCTGCCTCTGCCCACTGCCCCTCACTGGCAGCACGCAGGCAGCCCAGCCCTGTGGGGACTGGCCCCTGAGGGGCAGGGGGGAAGCATGGCAGCACGCTGGGGGGCTGGCAGGGGCCAGGGCTGGCAAAGGGAGCAGCCAGAGGGCCCTGGAATTCTCTGTTGGTCAGACACCTGGGACAGGCTGTACAGGGTGAAGGGCTGCTGAGCCTTGTGGACACGTGGGCCCCGTACCTGTCACACAATGGGGCCACACGCAGGAGAGCCATCACCACCTCAGAGGGCTGTGCCTCTGCCAGATCCAGAAGGGGCCTGTACAGATTGTACTCAGGAAACTCATTGGCCACGAGGATGTACCTCACCATGGCAGGCAGCTGGAGAAGGCAGGGGAGACTTGGAAAGCTGCCAGAGGAAGGAATGTGCCCAGCTGCCCCAGAGAAGTGCTTCCCTTGCCACCACACTGCCATGGCCTCAAAGGCTTCCAGGGAGCAGCAGGCGTGGCTTGGGAGGCCAAGCAATTGCTGGGAGGAGAAAAGCCAGGCCACAGGCTGCTTACTTGCTTTGGGCTGGAAGGACCCTCCTCCACAAGCATATCCAGCAGGGCAGCACTTGGTCTTGGTTTTGAAGATGGGAGAGTACGCTCTGACCACAGTGCCCATGACGCTGCTCTCTTCCTCCCGAATCCTCTTCATGAATTTGCAAACCATCTGTAGCAGAAGGGCAAGAAGCCCGGGATGTTGCATGGAGTGCTCCGAGCACAGTGCTGGGCTGAGCAGTGCCAGCAGGCCCAGCCCAGGTGGGGATGGCTGCAGGTACCTGCGCTGTTCTGCGGAAGCGGCCACGGGTGCGTTCCTGCTCTCGTGTGCGCTGCACGGCTGCACCTGGCAAAGAGCGAGCGCAGCCCGAGCTGAGGGGCTGCGGGAGAGGCCGGAGAACACAGCCCAGCCCTGCGCTGCCCAGGCAGGGACAGCCCCGCGCCGCCCCAGGGCATGGAGCACGGCTGTGGGGTGTCTGCCCGGCCCCTATTCCATCCTGTCCATGGGCATGGCCCCAGGGGATGGGATGGGATGGGATGGGATGGGATGGGATGGGATGGGATGGGATGGGATGGCATGGCATGGCATGGCATGGCATGGCATGGCATGGCATGGCATGGCATGGCATGGCATGGCATGGCATGGCATGGATGGGATGGGGCCAAGCTGGCTGCAGGCACCAGCCCTGTGGCCCAGCTCTGCCACTCACCCTTCTGTGGTGGCTGGAACTGCTCCACCTCTTCAGGCTGCTGTGCTGGGGCAGCTCCAGGGCCTTCTTTCTCCTCCTTCCCCCAGGCCAGCTTGGGCACGCTCGCAGGTCTGTGCTCTACGTCACTGCCTGGATTCATGGCTACTTGCAGAAGGTGAAAAGGAAAAGGTCCGAGTCAGCAAGTGCTGCAGTCGTGCCTTGAGGGCACCTGCAAGAGTGAAGTCTTGGCAAGGCTACAGGACAGCAAGTCCTGCACTCTGGTCTTGGGGGCTCCAGCCACAAGGACAGGAGACTCCTGTCAAGGACTGTGCAAAGCAAATGCCACGGTCTGCCCTCGAGGGCAGCTGCAGAAGAGATGCCTCGGGAAGGCCAGAGGTCACCAAGTGTTCTGGTCTGGCCACGAGGTCACCTGCAGGAGTAATACCTCGGGAAAGCTCCGGGTCAGCAAGGAACGAGTGGCTGTGCGAGGGCTCCTCACAGCACCGCTCTCTCCGTCCTGTCCTGTCGCGTGCACCGAGCACTGTGGAGTGGCCTTGTTACTGCCAACACCTATGCCACAGCATGTCACAAAGGGCCCTTGGATACCCTGTCCCGTTCCATTCCACGGTGACCATGCTGCACCGTGTCACAAAGGGCCCTTGGATACCCTGTCCCGTTCCATTCCATGGTGACCATGCTGCACCGTGTCACAAAGGGCCCTTGCATGCACTGCCACCTGCCCTGGGGCCACCCCCAGCCCCCCAGAGTGGCCCAGGTTGGAAGGAATGCCTTGCCCCAGGTGTGTCAGACAGCCCAACAGGATCTTTAGGAACGGCTCAGACCATCAGCAAACGCTGCCCTGCTCTGCGGGCTCAGAGCAGCAGGAGCCCCCAGGGCTGCCGACGCAGCCGCGGCGGGAAGGGCACGGGGCCCTGCACAGAAGCTGGCACGGCCTCCTCGGGACACGTCCCACATGGTGGCCATCCTAAGCACGGCCGTGTGACACAGACCAGGAACGTGTGGGCCAGGGCAGGAATGCTGCTCTGACCCTGGGGCCCGGGGAGCGCTGCTAAACAGTTCTTGGAATATGTAAATTAGCTTGGGAAAAAAGTTTACTATGCATAAGGAACTATGAATATGCAACAGGCTGGTGTAAGGGAAAAGGTATTCAAGGGGTATCTCCGGAGATAACCGAGTGCTCTCGGCTCAGTGCCGAGATGCACCCGGCCCTAACAACCTTTGCTCTCTGGCCCTTGTCTCCTCTTGTCCTGCATTAAACTCTTTAAATTTTCACAGGGGAGTGAAGGTGTTTTTCACAGCCCCGAGCGGAGAGCTCTGCCCGGCGGCTCCCGGGAAAGGCGGCGGCGCTCGGCACGGCCCCGGCCCGCCCGGCCCGCGGGAATTCCCCGGCCCGGGACAAAATGCTGCCCCGAAGGAGCGCTCGGAACGCCCCTGCGGCTCCTCCCTGCCCCGCAGTGCCGCAGCTGCCCCGCTGTGGCAGGCGCGGCTCTGGAGCAGGGGGGCTCTGCGGGACCCCCGGGCTGTGCCCCCTCCCGGGCCGTGCCCGCCCCGGGGCTGATGCTCGGCCCGGGCTCTCTCGCTGTCCCGGCCCCGCAGGGTCCCGCCGTGAGCGGCACCGCCCGCCCGGCGCCGCAGGGCCCGAGCCCTGCCCGGCCAAGGCTCCGTGTCCATGGCCGGGCCCTGCCGGGGCTGCGGCCCCTGCCCGGCCCGGCACAGCCCGCAGCGCCCGGCGCAGCTCCCTCCGGCCGGGCACTGCGGCTCCCGGCGAGGCGGAATGTTCAGCGCACGGCATCTCTGCCAGCTCTGCTCACATGGGCAAAACCAGCTGCTGCTGAGGCAATCCGAGCTCCCACCGAAGCCTTCCACCCAAAATGCTGCCTTCAGCTCCGACACACCGCTAAGGAATCCAAGAGCAAACTGAAAGCTGATTAGAGAATCTTGCACAATCACATCCAAGAACATTTTGTTATAAAATCACAAATATTAACAGAAGCTGAGAAAGTCAACACTGTTAGAAAACAAGCTTCCAACAATGGGACTCAAAGAGCTAAGGGCATGCCTTTGAGTGGAATGAGCCCTCTCTTTTTGACATGTCAGCAATGCCATGGAATTTCCCAAACCAGGGAAATAGGGAGGCCTGGCAGCAGCAGCTTCACACACAGCAATGACACAGAACAGGGCAGGGCAAGAGGCTGACAAAACTCTAACTGCTACTTGCAATGAAGTACCTTTGTTTCCAGTTCTAATCTAGCCACTATTAATATAGAGTCCAAAAGACTAAAAATACTAGTAATAATAATAACAACTGTACCATTAATAGCAAAAAATGGAGATAATAGAAATAATAAGAATTAATAGTGGTAATGAAAACCCTGCCATACTTATAGCAGGTTTGCATGGACAGGTTTTGGTAAGAGAGGGGCTCTAGGAGCACCTTCTGTGAGAGCAGCTGCTCCTCCATGTCCCACAGAGTCAATTCCAGCCGGCTCCAGGACAGACCGGCTGCTGGCCAAGGCTGGCCCAGTTAGAAATGGTGGTAACGCCTTTGGGATAAGAGATTTAAGAAAATGGGTGATCCTGGAGCTGTGACTGTGAGCAGGGAGGAGCAGGGTGAGGACATGTGAGAGGAGCAGCTCTGCACACCCCCAGGGCAGGGCAGGGCAGGGCAGGGCAGGGCAGGGCAGGGCAGGAGGGGCAGGAGCTGCTCCAGCTGCTGGAGCTGATTGCCCTGAGATTCCCTGGTCAGTCCCTGGTGAGGCAGCTGGGCCCTGCAGCCCATGGAGGGCACGGAGGGCAGAGATGCACCTGCAGCGCCTGCAGGAGCCCGTGCCGGAGCAGGGGGATGCCTGAGCGGAGGCTGCGACCCCGTGAGAAACCTGTGCTGGAGCAGGGAGCTGGCAGGGACCTGCAAACCCCTGGAGAGGAGCCCACGCTGGAGCAGGGCCCTGCCAGGACCTGTGAGCCCATGGAGGAGCGAGCCACGCTGCAGCAGTTTGTGGAGAACTGCTGTCCGTGGGATGAACTCACCGTGGAGAAGTTCATGGAGAAGTGTCTCCAGGAGGGACCCCTGGCACAGCAGGGAACGACTCCTCTCCCCGAGCAGCAGGAGAAACAACAGGGGATGAACTGACCAGAGCCCCCATTCCCTGCTGTTGCATTTCAGACTAGCAAAAGTTTAGTAGAAGTAGTTTGGCTAAACCTTAGAATTCTTAGTAGGCCATAGGCTGTGTGTTGTTAGAAACAGTTGTTAGGTAAGGGCAGTACGGAATACTGGAGAGGTAGGAACTTATCTTAGAATACATTCCAAGAGTAGGCAAGTGTAGTAGAACATGTCATTATTCACAAGATGGATAGGTAGATCTTGGGGGAATACATTGTTTTTACCTAACAGAGTGAAGAGAAGTTATAATCATAAAAATGTTCAATTTAAACAAGGACTAATCTGTAAATAAATGATTGTTGGAGTGTAACGTCGACAAATATGTGTTGAATTAAGCAACTGTTGATATAGACTCTATATAAATGCAATGATTTGTTAGCTCGGGGGGCTCTGACTTTGGACATTAGTCCTCAGGCTCCCAGGGCCCTCAATAAAGCACCGCATAAAACGACTTCGGTTGTTTTGTGTTCTCTTTACGGGCAACAGTTTTCTGGCGACCGCGGCAGGACTCCGAGGGTGGCTGGGGCGGTTCGCATTCTGATCCACTCCACGCCGGCACCGAGGATTTCTCGGGGAGTCATCGGTCTGCGCCTGACCCCCGCGCCTGACGGACGACTGTGGAAGGTAAGCCCGAAGGTGCTTTATTTTCTGTTGTGGGTTTTGGTTTCCTGCCCATAAGACAAGGCATTAATCCTCACCGGGTTGGGATATAGACGTCTTGGTGGAAAGCCTGGGCGCCGACCGTAAGTCGAAGCGAAAGCTACGCAGGCTCGGCACTTGCCCCTCGCGGCGCCGAGTAGTGGCAAGTTGGTTGGTTTAGTTAATGCTTCTTTTCAAGGTATTGTTGCAGCTAATAATCATTTCTTTGTATTTGATTTTGTTAAAGGTACTTTTAATTATAGTGTGGTGTGTGCGTTATGTATTATAAATGATGCCGTTTAAGACCTTTAAGGCATTGGTTCAATCTAATGGGAAGGTGCCCGGGAATACTCCTTTAGGATGCTTACTGAGACGATGGAAAAGTGCGGGGTTTTATCAGGATTTGGATAAAAGAAAAATGCTGGATTATTGTAATCATTGGTGACCCCTCTATGCATCTGAGGGGGGGCCAGAGTGGCCCCTGAATGGCGCATTGGATGCCTTGGTGATAACCCCCTTGATGCAATACCTTAGGGAAAATGAGAAATGGGATGAGATACCGTACTTGGATTTGTTTTATTATTTAGGACAGAAAACTGAATGGCAAAAAGAGTGTGGTATTATGGTATTAAAGGTTGAAGATAATCAGGATGAGTGTTCTGGGTGTAAGGCAAGGGAGGTATGTGTGAAATGTGCTGTAAAAGCTTCTGGACGAGAGGAGGATTTGTCCTTATTAATTGCTCCTTCTTCTCGTCCTGTTCCCTCGGCGCCGTCACTCCCTAGGGAAAGATCAGAGCAGGAGCAAGAGGAGTTAGGGACTGACTCTGATGAGGATGAGGATGAGAGGGAAACTACCCATTTTGATGATTCTCTGGGGAGTCAGGTTGAGATGCAGGCCCCTGCCAATTCTAATTCTCACACCCGTTCCCCCGTAGAACAAAGAACCCCTATTGCAGCAAGGACCCGGCATGGGAGGCGGAATAATGAAGGGCCTCATATGATAGCACCCTTGAGAGAGGCCATGGGTCCTCAAGGGGGAAGGGTTCTCATAAAGGTTCCTTTCTCCCCGGGTGATTTGGTAATTTGGAAACAATCAGTTGGCAGCTATCATGAGGACCCCGAAAGGGTGGCACGAGTAGTGAAAATGGTGATTAAAACTCAGAATCCTGATTGGAATGATTTACAGGTGTTATTGGACACTATAATGGATTCTACAGAAAAAGAAATGGTATTACAGGCAACCAGGGAAAGGGCCAGGGAAGAGATAAGGTTGCAGAGGACTGGGGAAACTGTGGATGAGCTGGTTCCTAGCGATGATCCGGGGTGAAACCCGAATAACGCGGAGGGCTATAGAGCCATACGAAAATATCAAGACCTATTAATAGAGGGGGTTCGGACAGGGATGCCTAAAACATTGAACTGGTCTAAGTTATATTCGATAAGGCAAGAGAAGAATTAATCACCCTCAGCCTTTTTAGAGAGACTGAGGGAAACTGCTCGGCGGTATACTAATTTAGAAATTGATGAGGAACCAGGTCAACTACAGTTAGCCCTATTATTCATGGGACAATCGCAGGATGATATTAGGAAGAAACTACAAAAGTTGGAAGGGGATGACACCCAAAAGCTTGATAAAATGCTGGAGGTGGCATGGAAAGTGTATAATAATAGAGAGAAGGAAACAGCTAAGCGGCAGCAGGCAGGGATATTGGCAATAATTCAGCAAACTGCGGGACGGGGAGGAGGTCAACGAGGCAGGGGTTGCGGAAGGGGTCATGGTAGAGGATTTGGGGTAGGAAGGGGGGGCTTCCAAGACTTAGGGTTACTAGGAACAAAC